TGTCAAAGGGGAACGCAAATTTAGACGAAGATAAGATATTCCTTATTAAATGAATTAGCTTGGATTTTATTAGGCTTTAGTTATAATGGTTCATAGCCAAATAATAATAGCTAATGTTTGGTAAAGAAATGATGCTTGTAGCTGCTGTCGTTCTCGAAATATTGAGGACTAAAGTTTTTGGGTTAATGGCCGAAATAAAGAGAACCATTGATACATTGAAAAAAGCGTTAGATACTTGATGTGTACCATCAAATTTTATCGACAATTGTTAAGTTTCAGGTCTCTAACTGTTACAATCACGAAATGCGACACGTTTAAATCAAAATCGAACTGATCTGTTTTTTAGAAAACGGGGATTTTTATTCCTCGAAACAAGTGCGTTTTCTGATTGACCGTCAAATTTTACATCGTTAAAATGAGCTTTTATGAAAAAATTTACTTCCATAATGGAATAAAACGCGATCGAAGTTTCAAGTTTGGACTCGATATTCTCGAAAACTGTTGATCCAAGAAACTTTTTAAACCCACTAATCGACTCAGTTTTCATGTCCTTACAATCGTGCATCAATATGACAATTGTGTTAACTGTCTCTTTTCAGTAAAACATCTTCCACTCTTCTTGGTTAATTGTTTAGTTTCCTGGTTGTTTTAGGTTAGCTAAATGAAATGATTTGAAGCTGTTGAAGACTGTGTTTTATGTTTTTGGAGACTCAAAGTTTCAAATCAATCTGATTGTTGTTAGTTCTGAACTAAATTAATAATCGATGATTTCAGAAGCATCTTGACATGATTTTGATTGATTAGCCTTTCTATTGAGCTAGTCTGGACTCTTAACTATTCACAAGAAAACCTTTTCCTGATTACTAAAATCTATTAATAATAAGCTTAACTGACCTTATTCTTCGTCTTGGATCCCCTAGCAGAGTATTTGGAAAGGTACACAATGTCCTTAATTGTGTTTCGAAGCGAGAACCACTCACATTGATTGTAACCCGTTCACAGAGATGATGATTATGATTTAAAGGCACAAAGCGTTCATATTGGACATTCAAATTGACAGCCGAAGTTGACTCAATGCGTTCTCTAGCCTCGATCTCAGTATAACCAGTAGTTGTTACCCTTGGAAATGACCTGGAATAATAAAATGAAAGACACGATCAACTAAGATCATCCTTTAATTAGGAGTAATAATTCAATGAAAATAATAAATCGAGAAAAAAGTCCAAGTTATCCTCATACGCTTGAAAGTAGCAGCGTAATAAAGTTAATGTACCATAATAAACTATCGAATGCTCATCATCGAAGCGTCCAATTTTGAGCCTACTTTAAAGTTACCCATGATTAATGAATAACTAAATTAGCACTGATTATCTTCGAAACTGCTAATAACGAGAAAATCAAACTCGCTTGATATAAAAGACTCTTGGCTTGCGAGCTTCGGTTAATTTTTAACAAGAGTTTCTTTTGGACGCTTTAGTCCATTTCAATTCAGAGATCGATCCATTGTTTTAACTCCAATAGACATCGTATTTTAATTTTTAAACAAACCATTTCAACAAAGTTTATTATGATACTGTTAATTTTTAGCATCATTAATAGTGTCATTAAGCTTGAGTTTCTCATGTTTAATCCAAGATTAAAATAAAACATCTCTAAGCCTTTTATTTGTTATTAAATTCTCATGATTTTTGATCAATACAAACATTATTTTCACACACTGAACATTATGCCTTTAATGATGAAAATTATATTGAATATTTTAAAAATTTAGACATTATGCTTACACTGGAAAATGCTGACTTTTGAACAGAGGATAGATTTAAATGGTTGAAAGTCTGCATTAAAATGAAACAAATGCATATTATACTAACCCTTTTTGTCCATGTAATGAACATATTGTTGTAATTGTAGTCATAATTTGATGTTAACCCTGAAGTTAAGCAAAAATTAAATATAAAAATCTAATGAAAAACGAAAATAATCCATCTATTGCATGCATTTACAAGACAAACTGTGGGTTCGACTTGACTTTACAACAAGTGCACAACATTAAGACACTGATTAAACGGTTTGACAATGAAGATGAACTAACTTAGGGATCACAATTTACAATTAAAATTAACCAAGCAAGCAAAGTTTAAATTTAATAAACTATACTAACCCGTGTCTAAGTTGAATAGTCTGTTGACAAGCTCCACTGTAAACACTGCAGCTCATTTCACTAACTAATGTACATGAATATCAGTTAATAAAGCACAATTAGTAAAACACTTTAAACCATTTACAACACATTAGTGAACAATTAGTTAAATGTAACAACAATTTTAGGCATAAATTAAATCAAATTCAATGGGCAAAATAAAATGGAAGTACACAAAATCAAAATTTTGAAGCGAAAGCCGTAAGCCAAATGAGATTAACCAGAATTAAAAGCGCATAAAATAGATATTTTGACCACAATTAAAACAATAATCCTGGTTTAATCCAGGTTAATCTGCTTTATGTTACTTGTTTCGCCCTAAAAGGCTAAACAAAATACAATAATGATTTAAAATCAAGTTAAACAGTTGAAGCCATGGCCGAGTCAGGCCAACATGTTTTGTTCGGTGTATTCCGGTGTATTTTGATTAGCGTCGTCTTTAATCATTTTCAAGACTGACTAACCACAGGGTGGGAAGGTGGATGATCGTGAAGGAGGAGTAGGAAGAGGTTGTTAAGGTGGAGGAGGTAAAGGTAGGTTAGGAGGAGGAAAGTATTGAATCTAATAACTTTAAGGTTACATATCAAAAAATGGATATTGATCGATCAACTGTTAAAGTAAATAAACTCCAATTGAGTCCATTTTCATTTCTGCTTCTGTTTTATTGTACTCCATATTATTGTCACATATATTTCTTTATATTTATTTCATCAATCTACCTGTATATCTATTATGTGTATGTATCACAAAATCAATAATAAACCCATGAAAAAAATCATTACCGGTATAAAATTAACCAGCTAACCATGGAAACTCTTTACCTTTACGCTCATCTCCAATGTTAACTTTCTTTGTAAATCTCTCTATTGACTCATGCTTTTCATATTTTTACATATTTTTACCCATTTGCAGGTAATTTTTGTATATTGTTTAACTAAACAGATATTTTGTTACCTTAAAAGCACCATTAACAATATTTCCTTACTAAAGTCGTACTTATGTGAATCGCAATTTCAAGCAACTTAATTGTTATATCTTCAATCATGTAAACTTGATTATTTGACTAATTTGATGGTTCTGTTGATCTGCGAAAATCGTGTTCATTTTTATTGTCCATTTATTAAACAGTCCATCTATTTGATAGTTACATCTTTTGGGATTGTAACTAGATGACACAACTAACACAATTGTAAAAGGCACGAATTTAGACAAGCTTGAACAAATGAGTGAAAACGGGTAGCAATTAAATTCTTGCCGATTTAGACACTGTTGGCTTGTATTAGCAAATGGCAAATTAGATGTCAAAACCCAATTCATTTAGGGCTAGTATCCAATTAGACCGATACTTGTTAGCAAAAATACTGTAGAAGTAGCAAAATCAAAGATTTCTACCATATTAATTAACAAGAAATAAGAGTACCTTTAAGATCGCAGTTTCCTCATGTTCTACGTCTATGAAACTAAATATGAGCGAAAGGACGATACTGCAAAATTAACTCAAGACTGACTCTTATTGTGAAGGATTTCATTGCTTAAAACTAATGCTTAGCTTAAATGCATTGTAAATCAAGTAAAACCAATGATTTTAACCTAGAGTATGTTAAGCGGTATTGCTGAAAACTTTGACTTTCCAGCTGGAATTTGAGACTTGAAGGTTTTGTGTAAGCATAAAATGAGTCCATTAGTGGTTTTAAAAAGATTCTCCGATCAACAGTTTTCGAGAAAATGGAGTCCAAATTTGAAACTCCGATCGCGTTTCATTCCATTATGGTAGTAGATTTTTTCATAAAAGTACATGTTAAAGATGTAAATTTTGATGATGTACCAGAACACGCACTTATTTCGGGAATAAAAACTTCCCGTTTTCCATAAAACAGATCAGTTAGATTTTAATTTAAACGTGTCGCATTTCGTGATTGTAAGAGTTAGAGAACTGAAACTTATTATTTGTTGATAAAATTTGATGGGTCACATCAAGTATCTAAAGATTTTCCAAACTTATCGATAGTTCTCTTGATTTTGGCCGTTTACCCAATAACTTTAGTCCTCGATATTTCGAGAACGGTAGCTCCTACAGTCATCATTCTATGACCAAATATTAGACTTTATTATGGGATATAACTTGATATGACTGAATACCCAATGGAATCTGCGCCAATTCAATAAATAAGGATTATCTTTCTATCATCTAAGATTCGGGTTAACTTTTATAAACAAAGTTTCAAATCTGATAACATAAGTAGCAAAATGCCATAACTTATTTGGTAAGATATCAAATAATTTAAATTGACAATATATCATGGTCCATAATAATAGCTAATGTTTGGTCAAAGAATAATGCTTGTAGGGACTATTATTCTCGAAATATTGAGGACTAAAGTTTTTGGGTTAATGGCCGAAATAAAGAGAACCATTGATACATTGAAAAAAGCGTTAGATACTTGATGTGTACCATCAAATTTTATCGACAATTGTTAAGTTTCAGGTCTCTCACTGTTACAGTCACTAAATGCGACACGTTTAAATCAAAATCGAACTGATCTGTTTTTTAGAAAACGGGGATTTTTATTCCTCGAAACAAGTGCGTTTTCTGATTGACCGTCAAATTTTACATCGTTAAAATGAGCTTTTATGAAAAAATTTACTTCCATAATGGAATAAAACGCGATCGAAGTTTCAAGTTTGGACTCGATTTTCTCGAAAACTGTTGATTGAAGAAACTTTTTAAAACCACTAATCGACTCAGTTTTCATGTCCTTACAATCGTGCATCAATATGAAAATTGTGTTCACTGTCTCTTTTCAGCAAAACATCTTCCACTCTTCTTGGTTTATTGTTTAGCTTTCTGGTTGTTTTGGGTTAGCTAAATGAAATGATTTCAAGCTATTGAAGACTGCATTATGTTTCATGAGGTTGTTTCATTTGTATCGATTATGGGTTAGTTTAGTATCAAATTCGAGCATCAAACCAACCAATTTAATAATCACGTAATTGCTGAATACTCAATATTAATTCATTGCAAACAGTAAACAGTGCAAAATTGATCAATAAATTCCCTAAAAGTAGTGTTATTTTATGGTTAAGTAAACTAAAAGAAGGACAATTTACATCTTGGATCGCTCGGTTTATAGCTTGATAATTATTCTTATGAAAGCAATAAATGCAAATGAATGGAATGATTCAAATAAAAATGAATCGAAACGAATTAACTTTCGGATTAAAGTTTCGGTAATCTTATAACATGATCAACATGTGTGTCAACAATTAAATTTTGTAACTGCAATAAACATATCTAATATTTTACGTTCCCAATCAGCTACAATTTGTAATAAATATTGAAAAAGGGTTCAACTTTCTGTCCAAAAGCTCAATCTAACTAATTTTTTGTCCTCACTTTAAGTGCAAGACGGTAACAATTGGAAACTTACTTACTATCCTTAGCAGCAATTTGAATCTGTTTGTCTCTGTGTTGCTCCATAAGCTTATCCCATGGACTTACTCCAGAACCAGGGCCACCAGTGCCACCTCCTCCTCCGCCCATTCCACCGATGGTTCCGATCCTACCAGCCATAGCCATGATTTTACCGACTTTCAACTTACCATTTAATGCAACGCAATGGAAACTTTTCACACTCGCCAATTAAACAACATTACTTGCATAAAAAGGACTAATGAACTGACAATAACAATTTTGGCGTCATTTATTGACCACAATCACCAGTTTACAATTACTCACTCCTCACTTCCCTTTTCAGTCGACCATTTTTTACAGTTTTGTCCCAACCTCATTGTTATCATCATTATCACCCATAGATTCATCGTTATTAATCAGATGAAATGTTTAGGAAAACAAAATAATACAATAAAAAACAAAACGGTCGAGTGATTTGAATCAGTACAATGAGTGTTTCATAAGTCATCATTTACATTCCCATAAATTACCAGATTCCCTGAATGTACACTCTTTTGCTGGCTAAAAAGCTCAATGAATTGTCAAGCTAAAAAATTGAGTTTTCATTCAGGTTGAAAATCAAGGATGAAATTTATTCAAGCTTTTTCCTGATAATAATCGCTCCAAAGACTGTCAAATGAGCTTACATTGTAGGCTTTATGCTATTTATTTATTCAGGTCACATAGAGTCGTTTAATTATATTCAATTATTAAATTTTCAATGTGATTACTTGCAAACTCAAGATAAAGCTATTAAAAAATCGATCAACCTTTTTTCCCTGTAAAATTTGTAAATTGATGCTTGAGAACTGTAATTGAAGATGATTTATTAAAGCTCATAATCAATTTCGGTAACCATTTGACAATTTCAATTTATCAAAAATCCTAACAAACTGAACTTGTTTTATGTTTTCAAAAGCACTCAATTCTTTGATGAATGAATCTAATGACAACTAAAATGCAACTTTAAGTAGCATTTGTCAGTAAAATTTCTGGTTATCCAATACTTAATGTCAAAACTATTAAGATTAATAGAAATAATGGCTTCTAATTGTTTATCAGAATATCAAATAAAGAGTTTATTGTTCACATTTGCTCACAAATGTCAATGAATTGAACAAATATCCAAAATGGATTGTAGTTTAATGTATAAAATAGAAACAATGAGTTTGTTTTACAGAATTAGTAAGATATAAGCTGCAATTCAAATGAAATTGTCAAGAGAACAAGATTTTTTTATAATGATAACTGTCGCTTATTGGCACTTCAGGTTGCATATACAAATAATATTAACTCCGATGAGCAATGAAAGGAAATACAACATTGTAAGTTAATGATTCATTTTACAAAGTATGACAACTATGATCAGTATTTTTCACAGTCTCGTGTTATCCAGTGATTCAAACGGTTATTTGGGTCTTTCGTGGTTTCATGTCAACAAATTATCAATCGATTGGTTGTGCGAAGACAATGTTACAAAAAGAAACGAATAATGGTTCGGTTATAAAGATGTCATCCTTTAATGGCTGGCTTTTCAATGGTAGTTGAGCTTTTAGACTCAATCAGCTGCTCAAGCGTTTCTTTTAATATGTTGTATTTATTTTTAACCTTCTCGATTTCATTCTGCTCCTGTTCATGATACTTCTCGAGGAAAACTTGCAATTCAACGTTTGAAAAATTTAAATACTGAGCAACTTCATTGGAAATCTCTGTGTTGTCCTTGTTTAAGATGTAAAAGCGAGCCGCATTTTCATCTGGTCCTAGAAGGACTCGTGTTAACAGGGGATATTCATTGCCCATGATTCGTCTACATTCACCATTATCACGGACAATAAAGAGTGAAAAATTTTGTGGCTCATTGGTTACTTTGAATTTGTCCAACAATAAATTGATAACCTCATTTGTATTGACTAAACTTGTTAACCAAACACTGGTAAGACTTCCTTGGACTGGAGTAAAGACACATGTTTCCCGGTTATAATAATGCCCGTTGATGGAACACCGTCTTTTCAATTTGACTCGAGAGCCTCTGACGATATTGCGACGAGTAGGTGATTTGACTTGATTATTGGATTCAACAGTATTTTCTTTACCATCTTTAATCGACTCGTAATCACTGTCAACATTTGTTCCATCGATGGTTGAGGTTGCATCTATAGTTTTAATTACATCATTGCTGTCCTTTGTGCCATTCTTTTCACTTGAATCCAATTTATTTTCACCTAATGAGCACTTGGATGATAATGTGCGATAGTTATGGATAAATCTGGAATTATTAGGCTTGTCATTTGATTTGCAGCTTTCATTGTCGTTAACGTCTTCCATTCCGTCACTAGAATCATCGGTATTTTTGTCATTGTCCTCTTTACGGGTGCGCTTTTTGACATAAGTAGTTCGCCGTCTTAAAACCAATATACGATCATCATTTTCCTCTTTTAGAATCAATTCTTTACTAACATCCCAATGGATTCGTAATGATCCTTCCAAAACAAGTTTACCATTTCTCTCGCGGCAGTTGATTACATTGGCTGGCTGTTTACATTCAAAGTAGGCATTATATTCCTTTAGTTTTTGTTCAATCAAAGACTTTTCAATTCCTTGTTGAAATTCAGGTTCCTTTGGTTTACCAAAAGATTTATGTGATTCGATTCGTGATCCATGGCCGTAAAGGGAAGGACCAAATAAGACACTGTAACATGGTATATTACAATAAGGAACTCCTTTGTGCTGTGAATGAGAAAGAAACAATCAATTAAAATACATTACTAATTAAATGATGGAGCTAAAGTATAAAAATAGCATGAATAGTCAAGAGATACCAAAAGCATGAGGAAAAATTACATAAATGATCAAAAATAAGGCAAGCTAATGCCAATGGCTGATAAAAGTGAAGTCACCAAATTGCTAACAAGTAATTGATGTCAATTTTAAAACTCATTTTGGATTATATGCTGAGAATGTAAACAAAAAAGATGAGAAGATAAAACTAATTAACCGATCGAGTGAATTTTGAGCTTCAAGAGATTGACATTGGGAATTGAATTGAGATATAATATACAATATGAACACTATAGAGATACCAAATGACTGACATGTCTAACTGTGAGCTGAAGACGAAACTAAGTTTCAATGAAGAGTTATTTGGGGAAACCGTTGAATCGATGGAAAGTAGCAAATCATTAACACTATCGTTGCTATCATTGACTTTTTATCTAGTTAATAGGTTGGTCTTCACGGATCAATCTGATTACTTGAAGGCAAAACGTAAAGTGTGGAAAAATTATGAATACAATTGACACCAAAGACACAAGAGATACAGCAAAATGGACACAATTAAAACCAGTATTCCGGAAAATCCAAACAACGTGAATAAAGACGCAAGATGGGTTAATAATTTTCACTGATAATCACCTCAGCATGCTGTCCGGGATTCAAAATTTTGGCACACTCTTCACATCTAAGACACTCTGGATGCCAGTCATAACCTAAAGATGTTTTTCTTTCAGCTGTAAGATGAAAAGATAGGAAAGACTATTAGTGAATCTGGTATTAAAAATTATGGATTAATAATCACGATACTCACCAAAATAAACAGCTTTACCACATTTACGGCATTTCCACATTTTGTCTGAAAGTAAAAGAAGAAGATAATGAGTACAGGATAAAAATGAATGTCATTCACGAGTCAGACTTTTCATCTTCACTCCTCGAGAGAAGAAGATGAAAGAAGAAAAAAAGATTACAAGTGAAAAGCTGAAGTGAAGAGTAATGATGAAGTTTAAAAGCTTTTTTTTCCACCGAAGAAATATCGGAAAATGAAGAGGAAATATTACAATATATTGAAGAGTGATACTAAATGATGTTATTATCGGTGTTAATGAAACGAGATCAAGATGATGATTGAAGGAAAATGATGAGGTTTGGTGAGGTAAACATGGTTAAAATATCTAACAATATGATCATCCAGAAAAAAGCTGTTGTTTCATGATAACCATGGTATGAATCAATCAAGGAAATTAATTTGGTTCATTTGCATCACTATTGTTATCATTACTTGATTTTAGCACTTATTACTGAAAGTATTACAATGTCACTTTGTATTGTAAAGTTTCAATTTTAAGGGAAATCTATTGAAAGGCAGATTCAATTGGAATCAAGGTTGACTATTTTTCAATCAATTTAGGTATTTCTCAGAGTGCTAACACTAAATAAAAACCTACGCGAATTTTTCTGTTTATCATCAAATTTTATCATCAAAATGCGTTGGTTGTTATTGTTACATTGTTCATGAATTATTCTTGAAAGAATGCCTTCAATGGCACAATCATGAGTTAGATAGAACTGCTGCTCTTTTAAGTTTACTGGAAATTGATTTTAAAATGAATGGTCATATGTTACTATGTATTGATCACAGATTTTTGGTACGTTCAGTAACCGCTAAATTAGACAGTCAAGACGAGTTCGGTTATCAATCCATAGTAAATGTATCAATGTAAACATATTCAAATACTTGATTATATTGCTTAAAATCCATAAATCAATATCACGTAAATAATATTTACGCTATTGTACGTCAACTCTAATTTCTATCAAGGTAGGACTACAGTCTTAAGAGATTGTGTCAACAATTATGAATGACAGCTTATTTATGGGGAATCAGTTCAACAGTTTTACATACATCAAGACAGGGAATAATGGTGAATCAAGAATAAATATGAAGCTGAATGTGACTTTACTAACCAAGGTTTTGTGTTAGCAGCTTGTCCAGTAACCATGTGGTCTTACAAATATAGTTCAAGCTATTCAAATGATCTAGCAAAAATTAGAGACAATTTTGCCTGCTCAGTTTCCCATAATTAATCATGGACTAATTGGGGTTAGTATTTAGCTGTAATGAAGAATCTAAATTTAATTAGATGCCATTAAAGATAAACAGGTCAAATATGAATAAACTCAACCGTAGATGCTCGGAGACTATCAGGAAAGTTTATAAATACTGAAGGTTTGAATGGGCCTAGAAATCATGATAATTATGATTTGTTATGTCCTTTCTATGTAAATAAATGTTCCTTACTTGACTTTGGGTCGAATGAAAACCAATTAATTGATAAAGCAAATGGTTCAATTAGGAAACGGTAAACAAATGATGAGCATAACTTGAAAAAAAGGGATACACCAACAAAACCAAGTATGGGTATGATCATTAAGCGAAATCTTTTTAGCTCCGAGGGTGGTATCGATGGATTTGGCATTATTCAAGCGGCAAGTCTTGATGTTGGAGACGATAATTTAATGCCCAAAGCATGAATCAACAATTAAATAGTGTTTCACTTGGCCAGTTGACGAATTACAGGAGTGGTAACAAAAAAAAACATCAACACCATTGGTAAAATATTGGTAAAATGTTTCCCTCTCGGCTTTTATCTAGATGACAATCAAAATGGATTGATTATAAACAAAATGTTGAGTTCAATAATAGGATGGCAACTTTTAAATTGTTTAACACCAAAAATAGACATCAATTAATCAGCTAAACATGTAATTAAAATTTGTAAAAAAAAACAAGACATCAACAAACCTTTTGAAATGTGAGAAGATGCTTTTGCCAGAATCAGCTTGTTTTTTATTTACATATTTTAGGCATGGTCAATTGGTACTTGGTTAACAATCTGGTTAACAAGGTTAGAAATGGCTTTTAAATAAATAATTTTTACACTCGCATTTTGTTTTGAATCTAATCATGTTTTTAATTATAATCGGTATAGATGCCTAAGTTACATAATGAAACAGCAAGATGTGTGGAACAGATTTTCGTTTATATCATCGTTTTGAGTGTTTTCTCAACTATTTGGTTCAATGGTAGGTTAGCGTCATTTTGTTGAAAAATATACATCTGGATTGGACAAGCAACAAAATTGATTTTTAACATAAATAAGCAAATAAAATTTTAATTTTTCCTAGATAGAAGTGGAAAATTATTGAAGTAGAAATTATAAAAAAAATTAACTATGCAGCACTAAAGGCTTTCAATCTGGATATCGTACAAGGTAACATTTAATTAGCTGTGCATTGGATTAAGCGTTACAATTTTACATGAAAAGGATTGTTTCTCAGTGTTTGGATTTAGTGTAATAATATTCAAGCATCTTCAAGTTGATAAGGTTGAATTTTGTTTTCTTGAATTAACCACGAAATTTGTTGAAATAACATAATACCATGTGTAAAAAAGTTAACTAGAATGAAATTGATATATCAACAGTAGGTTAAGACAAAGAAGAGTGACTGTAAAAGAAACAAAAAGTAGCAACTAACAACACGTACAATAGGTTGAGGCATGACTTATTGATATAATTGGCACCAAAAGTGTAAGAAAATGGCAGATAATTTGAATTAATTTTCGGAAATTGTTTTTCAATCCGATTGGTCTTGAGATCCTTGACCATTGGTTTGCTTTGGTGAATTGGTAAAAAATAGTTGCACTTCGTCAACCTTATTATTACCATGAGAGGATGGAGATGAAGGTGATGGTGATGGTGATTCCAGGCATGGACGTTTTTCAAGGTTATCACTAATATCAAGGTAACAATCAAATTGGTTTTGATTTCGTTTGAGTCTTCTTCGTCTTCTGGAACTTGACTTAGCAATCATTTTTTCATAATCATCAAATTTAACTAGCATAACATCAGGCCCATCAAACCACATTTGTTTCTTTAGATAATTTAGTCGCTCTTCTAACTGCCTTTTATGGGCCAATTGTATCTCAATGAATGCATCTTGAGCGTTGAAGGGTTTATCCTCTTGCGATGATGTGGAGAAGAAACACGAGAAAGATGGTGGAAATGTTAAATCAGTTTGACAGGCAGAAGAGATCTTTGAATTTAAAACAAAATCACTGAAAATGGTAGTTTTCTCTGATAATCTGGTAACATCATTATTTATAATATCAATCGGTTCAGACAAAAGATTTTTCACTTTTTCTTGATTCTCTGCAAATCCATCCAGACTAAACGTAGATAGTATCTTATTTTCCTCTTTGGTAGCTTCAATTTTATCTTTGATTTCTCTCACTTGATTTCGCATTTTTTCCGCTTTCTTTTCGATTGAGGAAGCCTTTAGCTCCTTTATCCTTTCCCTTAAATCACACTCCGTCGCAATATCCTTCCTATGGATTTCTAGTAATTTAGCATACATTAACCGTAAATCATTTAAACTAATCTGGTCATCACCATCATCTTCATCATCATCCATTTGCATGCAATTCATTGGATTGGCTGGTTCCATATTGAACAAGACAATGAAATTTCAATATCTAGAAGGGATTTTCAAATAAAACAAAGAGATAATAGAAACATTAAACGTCAAGAATATCACCAATTAGGCAAAAACACAAGCACAAATACAGTAAAGGGATGCAGTGAAAGCCGGACACATGGTACTGATGTTCGATACGAGTATTTAGACTAAAAATACCTGCCAGATAATGAGGCTACCTCGAAATAGCTTATTTTCACTGTTCACCAAGCTATTCAATCCAATGATGTTAGATCTATCCTGAAATCCAAAAATCATGATAGAAAAAAACGATACATTAATAATAATTTACTACTACACCCAGTTAGGTTGAGCCAAAGAGTAAAGGAAGAAGAGAGAGCAATTCAATACTAACTCTGAACCAAAATTTTTTTTTGGTGTCAGAAGATGGCGCGAGAAAGAGACTCTTTCTTTTTACTTTCTTTACAAATTTTTTACTCTCTTTTTCTCTTTCATTTCTCTTTCTTTTCAGCATTGAAAATTAAATCAAGACAATTAATAGCAACATTATAAAAGGCTTTTTTGACTACTTTTCAATGTATTTAATGTTATTTTAATTGTTTTTAATGATTTTGATGCTATGATTTCTAACACAATGATAAATTTGTGATAATTTTACAGAATAATGCCTTTAAAGCTAACAAAATCTGAATTAATCAAGCAAAAGTCTACCAAAAAGTTTTAATAGTCCTTGTATTAAGGTTTAGGTAATATTTTGGTTATTCTAATAAATTCAAAATTCATTGATTTAACGGGAATTCACCTTCACATAAAGCAAATTTGAATAAATTGTCGTTAGTATAATGTTGGACATACCTATCGGTTAACGAATTTATCATCAAATTATGAATCTAACCAATGAAAAGAATAAATTCAGAATTTATTGGCAGGAAAAGTTTATCGTAACCAAAATATTACCTAAACCTTAATACAATGACTATGAAAACGTTTTGATAGACTTTTGCTTGATCAATTCAGACTTTACTAGTTGCGATGGCCTTTTTTCAGTTAAATGGTCATAAATAAGAAATCTAAGCATCAAAATAATAAAAATCAATTAAAAAAACATTAAAAACATTGAAAAACAATCAAAAAAGCCTTTTCTAAAGTTAATATCAATTGTCTTGATTTAATTTTCAATGCTGAAAAGAAAGAGAAATGAAAGAGAAAAAGAGAGTAAAAAATTTGTAAAGAAAGTAAAAAGAAAGAGTCTCTTTCTCGCGCCATCTTCTGACACCAAAAAAAAATTTTGGTTCAGACTTACTATTGAATTGCAGTCTCTTCTTCCTTTACTCTTTGGGTTGAGCCCATCTGTGCTGTATTTTAGTTCGGCTGCCATCTTTCGTAATGAAATTAAACCTTGAATAATCAACTTTGGTTGTCATTAAATTTTCTGCGGAAAATTAACATATTTAAAGGGAAAAAGTAAATAATCTTAAAACACATCTATCATTAACCGTAAATTACCCAGTAATTATGTCAAATTTAATATTAAAACGCAAGAAATTTAAAGAAAAGGCCAATTGGTTGAATTAGTTTTATATCACCTAGTTTTACAGAATCGAAGAGTCCTTGAAACGATTTCAATTCATGTGTATACTTTCCACCAATATCATGCCTGGGATGAAATAGTTTTACATAAGAAATAAAAATTATCACCAATTAATTAGAACAGATAAAAAGGATTTACTAAATTAAAACAAATGATCGTTTGATTCTTGCCTTGTTTCATTTAAACGATAGATGGCGAAATCATCTTTATTTACCCGATTTTCGGTAAATTTTTGCGCAGTTCAACTATTTATTGCAATTTGTCTTTTTTTGTTTTCAAATCTGAGTTTGTTTTTCTTCAATTGTTTATTATATTTATTGAATTCATCATTTCATCTTCGATAAAGATTGGCTGTGATATTTTCTTGTAATTGTGTTAAAAATTATGCTCTTGGAAATAATTTAATGTTAAACAGTGTTTTGTAAACCGAACCGCTAAACCGGTGATAATCTTACGTATCTGTTTGTTTTTTTTTGGTCTCTGGATTTTACTTCTCTATCTCTCTTTCTCTCTCTGGCTTTCTCTTTCTAACTCTCTCTCTATTTTCCCTTTTCTTTGCTTTTTCTCTTTGAATTTTTCTCATGTTTTTTTTCCTAGTGAGCTAAACATTCATCTACAGTTTCAGTTAATTAGATAAATTTTTGATTATGGTATATCCCCTGTTTCTCTTGTCATTTGCTTAATATGGTTACCTATCAGCAATGTCAAATGTTGCTTCACGCGGTATGTCTGGTCATAATTGCCGGAAAAAGGTTAGTTTAACCTATGTGATTCGTGATGAGGTTGAAAAGTACCATCGATCAGGAATTAATTCACTTCAATTGGATTCTACATTAAACCGGTTATACTCAGCTGGACGTGATTCTATTATAAGAATATGGAATCTTCGGAATCCAAAAGAGCCTTACATTCAATCGATGGAGCATCATACTGATTGGGTTAACGATATTGTTATCTGTTGCAATGGTAAGAATCTCATTACCGCTTCAAGTGATACTACAGTTAAGGTTTGGAATGCACATAAAGGCTTCTGCATGTCAACATTGAGAACCCATAAGGATTATGTTAAAGCTTTAGCTTATGCGAAAGATAAGGAACAAGTCGCCTCTGCGGGCCTGGACCGAGCAATCTTTTTATGGGATGCAAATACATTGACAGCCTTAACTGCTTCCAATAATACTGTTACAACATCGTCACTCACTGGTAATAAAGATTCAATTTATAGCCTTGCAATGAACCCTTCAGGCACTGTAATTGTTTCTGGCTCAACAGAGAAAGTTATTCGTGTTTGGGATCCAAGGAGCTGTCAGAAATTGATGAAACTTAAAGGTCATTCCGATAATGTAAGAGCTTTGATGGTCAATCGAGAGGGAACACAGTGTCTCTCTGCTTCAAGTGATGGTACAATACGTTTGTGGTCATTAGGCCAGCAAAGATGTATATTAACTGTTCGAGCTCATGATGAAGGTGTTTGGGCTCTTCAGGTTAACGATACGTTTACTCAGTGCTACTCAGGAGGGCGTGATAAAAAGTTAATTATGACTGATTTGAGGAATCCAGAAAATCGTGCTGTGATATGTGAAGAAAGTGCACCTATACTCAAAATGCTTCTCGTTCCACCAGATAATAATAGTATTTGGGTAGCCACAACCGACTCGAGTATCAAAAATTGGTCTCTTGCTCATAGTCGATTAAAAAATTTTTCTCATTCCAATTGGGAGGACTACGATTCTGATTTGTCACCGCCACTAAACAATAAGCCCGAAATAACTATCAAAGGTAATCCCGCACTTCGCCAGTATCATGTTCTCAATGATAGACGGTTTATCCTAACCAAAGACACTGACCGTAATGTAGCTATATATGATGTGCTCAAAGCTGTTAAAGTTCAAGACCTTGGCAAGGTTGACATGGAAGAAGAGATAAAGAAACGTTTTAAATTGATTTATGTGCCAAACTGGTTCATAGTGGATCTCAAGTCCGGAATGTTATCAATTCACTTAGAAGAGCCAGATTGTTTATCAGCTTGGGTTTCCGCCAAAGAGTTTGGTTTTGCTAGCCCGAATGACCCATCCGATCCGAAAATTAACCTAGGACATTTGCTACTTCAAGCATTGTTTGAACATTGGCCACCCCAGTTACACAGTTACAATCGTAGTCATCACTCTGGGTCTAGTGAAGTTGATGGCGATCCATTAACCAATGGTGGAGATGAGGAAAACCTAGAAGAGTCTGGTAGAAGGTCAGAGGAATCAGGAAAAATTGTTATTCAACGACCTTACAATCAATACTTCAGTGTACCAACTCACACTCCAATTATTTTAAGTGAAGGAAGTAATCGTACTCTTTTAAGACTTTTAGTTGGGGATGCTCGCCGTGAAACGGAAGATATGTTACTCCAAGAAAATGTCCCTCTTTGGATTAGTGAAGCTCTATTTTTCCATAAATTGCCAAAGTTCACGAAAACATCATTTTTCCTTTTACCTCACCCATCCTCAGGTATCAAATCATACCAACGAAAGGACCGTTTAACAGCTAATGACCTTTTGCAAGTACGAAAAGTTATTGAACATGTGTATGAAAAAGTGTTAGGAGCAGGCATTGACGGTACAACCAGCAGTGGTACACCTAATTCAATAGCAGGAGCTGGCTCTACAGCTGCCTCAGCTGCAGCAGCAGCTTCAGTTGCTGCTGGTTCTAGTTCAACAGGAGGATTGTCATCTACCAATTCAACTGGTCTTAATAATAATAGTCAAGAAAGGTCATCTGACTCTAGTATATGTGGGAACACTGATAAAGATGATGACAAAATACTGCCAGAGGAAAAGGTTGAATTGCTTTGCCAAGACCAAGTACTCAATCCTAACATGGACCTTCGATCAGTTCGACATTTTATTTGGAAAAGTAGTCAAGATTTAGAGCTTCATTTCAGGCCCATCAAATGAAGCTTCAATTTATTTTCTTGATGCTCATCTTAGGTGTTATCATCTGGCATTTTTCTATCAATCAACAAAAAACCGACTAAAAGACAAGCAAAGAAACAATTTATGCTTTACAGTTTTTCTCTCAGTTTTATGAAGATGAAAAAAAACATAAACGGTCTAAGGCCTTAATTATATATTTATAAATATAAATTATCTCTTTATATGGATTATATACAAAGAAATTTGAATAGAAACGTGAAATCAAATGAGATATCAAGTTTCATGAATCAGTGTAATCTGTAACATTTATTTAAACTGTTTACATACACATACACACCATAAACTCACGAAAACAAAAAAAAAACATTCATTTCACACACACATCATCCAATGGATTCGCAGTTACTGTTAAGCCGAAGCTTACGTTCAGCTTATACAGGATAAAATAGTTGTTGACGACCAACATGATGATCCCATGTTTTTGCCATAGAAAAAATTCAACAAATTCTACATCTTCGACCTTTGTGTATAATCACATTAATATGTGTAAACAATTTTTCACACCATCATCTTTTGTTTGAATATCACTAGTCTGGAGGTGAAATGCCTGTTCTATCATTTCACCTTTTCTCACCCTGTAATTTGCTATTCCTCTACTTCTTTTCTTTTACTTTCTTTTCCCTCCTTTTATCACTTCCTCTATTTTCTTCTTCTTCTCAATCTTGTTTTATTATTAGTTATTATAATTATATTATTAATAACATTGATAACAATGATATCAGTCATCATTTTGACTCCTAATTATGGCTCCAATTACGACACTCAACACAACTCCAACCTAACCAAAATCAGTCCGTAATGATTCTGGCATTTTCACCAAGTTAAAACCCAGGGAACAATTAAACATCAAAACGTGTGGAGAAAGCTGATAAAGAGGAAAATAATGATCACTATTAAATGAATGGATTCACCACCAAATTACCTGATGAGTCTAAACCCGATCACTTTTGGCACTTTATACAATCTAAATGTCAATTGTAATCATATTATCTTTTGATTATTTTCACCTGTTTTATTCAAAATGATGATTTCAAGCCGCTGTTTGATAATTTACCGGTAATGACCATCGGGCTGTTAAAAAGTATGGTTTTGCAAATTCCTTAACAAGTAACTAGTTGTTTTTTACTGTTAATGTTTACAGTAAATGTTAATTTCATGTGTAAGCTAAACCATTAGACTGTTCATTCTCATCGTTATCAACTTTCAACACCAAGAAATTTCTACCTCTTGGAAACAAAGACAAATAATCAAAGCAATATTAATTAAAAAAAACATTCACAATGAGCAAAAACAAAGATTTTTTTGGAAGAAACGATAATTTGGAACTTTAAAGGTTACAATAGAATAATTAAAATCTTGAAAAACCTTATAAAAAACATCAATAATGAGTATGATAATAATGTAAACCAAATTTTATTAAAATAATATTTTGCTTACAAACAACTCGGTGGTTTAGTATTAGTTTAAGGATAACAAAATAAAGATCAATGTCTTTAAAAGTGTAAAGCAAATAAAATAATTTGAAAATCAATAGATATCAAGTTCGCTGTTTTGAGACAATAAACTCAAGTCCATCAGTCAGTTATGGATCACGTTTATAATTAAGAGTCATTGATTGTCATTTTTATTTTTAAAATATTTTCAAGTTCATTTAAACTTGTTAAAAATTAACCTCATTTATAATTAATAACTTGAACGTGATTTTGAATGAAAGAATTGCTGTTTTTAAATCTTTCGTGTTCACACTTTAAAAATCTTGCAATCTATTTAGTAGATAATAAATGAAAGTTTATCAGATTTAAACAAACAACCAGAGCTTTTTAATCAGCAGATCGACCGATATAGCAATGGGACATTTAATCAAAATATAATATTATTAATATAAGGGAAGACAAACATTGCATTTGTCAATTGCATAGTTTTAAGAAATACATGATTGAAAAAGGAGGAACATTTAACTAGTTGAAATTAAAGTATTAAAAGTGAAAGACAAAAAGGGTCATTTTGTGTGATGAATTTGTGAAAATAATTTGTCAAATACTGTAATTAGTAAATTATCATAGTTTTTTATATAAATTTGTGCATTAAAATCAGTATTCTACCGATGAGGTAAGCCAATGACTGGATTTTCTTCTTTTCAATGGGTGACTATCTCTTTCATCTGATTGATTAGATATTCCAGATTTAACAATTCCTGCTCGAATAGCTTGATATACTTTTTCCTCATCTTCACAGTAGATGAAATCCTCTGAATCTAAGAAAACAACATCCAAAGCTCTGTAAGGCGCTTTCCGAAGATTGTAGAATACTGTTATGAAACCAGAATCACGATAATGATCCACCATGTGTCTAACAGACTGTAATAGTAATGCAAAAAAATAGAAAATTTCAGAAACGATTTATGATTAGACTACTGTAATTCAATATTAGAAAGAGGGTGTAAACTGATTAACTTACCATAGCAAAAGTAGAATCAGCCCTGAACATATGCTCGCCATCGATTACAATAGATAAATGTTTTGTTGAACAGCCATAAGAGTCAATAGCCTTGCTTATTTTGACCTTCATGTACTCTACTGATGGAAACAGAACACTTCGATCAGGTTTGACGTAGAGAAACACATCACCACAAGGAGTTTTACGCATCACGATACTGATTCTTGGTCTTGCCATTAAGTAAAGCAGGACTAACAGTGAAAATGTGACACCTAAACCAATCCCATATTCAAGACCAATGAAAAGGCACGAAAGAAGTGTGATGAAATAAGGGACAACGTCAATCCGATTGGCTCGCCAAATAGTCAATATATCTTGAAATTTAACCATAGGCAAAACGGCAGCGATAATAATTGATGCTAAGGCTGGTTTTGGTATGAATTTAAAGTAGGGAGCAAGTGTGGCCAAAGCAAGAATAACTAACGAACCAGTGATGATGCCACTGAGTGGTGTTCGAACACCACTGTTATGGTTAACAGCTGATCGAGAAAAGCTTCCAGTTGCTGGGAAAGCGGAGAAAAAGCTTCCAAGAATGTTTCCGATTCCAAGAGCAATCAGTTCTTGTGTAGCATCCAACTTTTTGTTTGGCATAAATGCATTAGCCACAGCAACCGTTTCCAATAGACCAACTAAAGCCATCACAAGAATACCAGGAGCCAAATCACCAATAACTTGAGTTGGTGATCGATAAGTTTCATTAAAACCATAACTAAATGTAGGAATTTGCATTGGAGGTAATCCAAGTTTTATATCTGTATTTATTGTGAAAACGTTAGTATGAGCAGCAATCACACCACAGATGATGACCACAACGGCGTTTCGTGCAGTTACGATTAGATTCCAAATTTTAGAGAAAATTCTGAGACTCATTGAATGAGGTGCTACACGGCCCTCAAGAAAGAAAAATGATGAAGTACGAAAGTGTTGCAAAGGAATGAGAAAGGCAAGACAAACTACACCCAAAAATGTGTCCCAGAGATTAATTTCATGGAGATGGGTTAAAAGGCCTACAACTGTAGGTAAGAAGCGAACAGCAGTCAAATGGATACCAAAAAAGCTTTTCATCTGAGAACAGGCGATGGTAATAGCAGCAGCAGTTGAGAAACTAGAGAGGACGGGAAATGATACGAAATCAACAACAAATCCCAGATTCATCATACCAAGAATTAACATGAGAAGACCGGTGTAAAATGAGAGGAGGATAGCATAAGTTGTGCCACCCATAACAACAAAAGGAGCAATTAATATGGCCAGAATTGAAGTTGGTCCAAAAGCAACATCTTTAACTGTTCCAAAAAGTGCGTAAACAAATAAACCAATAAAACTCGTATAAAGTCCATATTGAGCGGGTAAACCAGCCAAGATTGCAAGAGCCAAGCCTTGTGGGATAATTGTGAAGGCAACTGATAGACCAGCAATTAGATCACCACGTAGGTCAAGCAAGGAATATTTAAGCAACCATGTAACAATAGGGAAACGTCTCTTGAGTTTTTCCTTGGTAAAAAATCGTTGTCGACACCAAGAACAGCAACCTCTTAAAGAAGTCTCATCGTCTTCATCCATGCGAATATTCATACCTAAGCAGGGTGTAATTAGTAAAATAATTTAGAAAATAATGTATTATTAGAAAGCACAGAGGAAAATTCACAACGGTACTATAAAAAACAGTGATTTCAAAAAGTATTCACTGATGTAAACTTTAACAGGTAATTAATTCGTTGTCAAAGAGCACAGTATTAACAATTAATTTAATAAACGTTTGGTGACAGATAGAAACAAGAGTTTCGTTGATAATGTGTTACACAATTCAACAGATTATAAATTAACTCCAATAAAATCTAGATATCAATAGAGAGGAAAAGACTAGGGATAAAAACCTAACGAATACTTGACATGAAAATGACTTACCACAACTTGTTGAAAGAGATTTTCGTCGACATGGTATGTTATGGCCTTCAATCCGTTCATAAGGCACCAATTGATTGAATTGTTTCGTCATCGATTCTTAGCATTAGGACCAAAGTGTAGGCAAAAAAGACAGTAGTCAAAAATAGTGAGTGAGGTGAGAGTAAACAGCAGACTAAAAACTACTGAAAAACTAAAAAAGCAAGTTTAACTTATGCCCACTGGAGGGCGGCAATTAAAAAATAAACGAGTTGCAACTAAAACAAAGCATTGCTAATGAAATAAAAATTCACTGGAATTTGCCTTCTTTTTGTTTATTTTCAGTGATTAAACAAGATATTTGGCCTTATTCACTGGCGATAACTATTGACATGCTCATGAGACACACCAGCTATTATTTATCTTCTTGGTTGAACGGATGTTTGCAAATTCAATCTCTTCTTTCGATATTGAAAATAAAGATCATCTTAAATCGTTTAACTAGAGCAATCAGTTGATAATAAAGAGATATCAGTGACCAAACACAGTTTCTCAAGATTTTTCAGATAAAACCAGGTTTATATCTCACTTCCGATTCAAGGCTATAATTAGATTCCCAAAAATCATCTTTCATGAGGCGTCAAAACTAATAGTAAAGTAAAACGAAAGATCGTTTCAAAAGTCTTTAATTACCGCAATTGGTACATTGGCAGTGTTTTTTGCTTATTACAATAAAAATAACATAACGATAATAAATGACGAAAAGATAATGTGACAGTTTTCATCAATAAATACACAATTTTTTATACAATGACAATGTAAAATCATTTTTATATAAATTAAGAGGATAAGGTTGTTTTTGGTTAACGTTTCAAATTTTCTCTGATTGATGGGAATTTCTCATCCCATTAGTTAAATTAAGGTAATGTTTATCATTTAACTTGTAATTACAAGGGAAGGGAACATTGTAATTGGAATAGACCTTTGGCAAGAAAAAAATAAGATCAATTTCTGGGGTGTGAACACAAATGAAGTGGTAGACCAAAGCTCAGTCTGATTCATCTGAAGCTTTTTTAATGCGAAAAGCTTTTTGATTGAACAATTTTAAACTTTCACAATCAGGATCAATGATTCTTGGATTTTCCTTGAATTTGAGGCATTTAAGGGCACATTTTTCCCCATTGTAAAGTCCATGTTCCCAAACTCGTACACAAAGGGCACAATTATGTAAACAAAGATGTAGCTTATCGTTTGGCGATGGACTATTGATCAGCTCAGGATCACAGCCAACAGCGACCAAGTAAGCAAACACGATAGAAATACCAATCAACAAACAGTTCATTATTAGAAGTTGATCAAAACTAATCAGTTAAACAGCTTGTTGAGTTAACGAAAACAGTCTTAACCTGATAAAGACGGACAAGAGATATGATTATAACGATAGTATTAACAAAGCAAATAAGACAGTTTTACTCACCTAAATATCAGACTTTTACCGATAAACTTCACTAGTCAACGATTGATTATATTGATTATAACTGAATATTAATAGTAGTTAATAGTTGTAAAGTCCAGTAATAAAAAAGGAAGAATCAGAGCTTCTTGAATCAACCCATTGGTTTAAATACCTGGTTAGAAAGCAGTGATGTCCATTCCGAGGGAGAAATACAAATTGCTATGTTTACTATGAATATAATTTGGTGAAGTCTAAAAATAAAACCCGTCAAATGGCTGGAATAATGAATCTCAGATTGAAAGCCGGTTCAAATTTTGGGCTGAAAATGATGGTTGAAATCAAAATTGTTAAATATAATCAACCTTAGGCTAATTTAATATCAACAGATGAAACCTTCTTCGTGTTTACTGTTTTTTTTATTTTTTACTCAAGATTTAACAGAAGCTCATTTTAATGAAATTGGCTTCTTGTTTATTCATTTTGCTTTATTTAAAATATTTATACATTTTGATTCAATCTTCATCATTTTTCATCCGATTTAGTTTGGATATTACCAGTTTAGTTGATTAATGAAGGTCATGATTGAAGTTTTTGTTGATTTCATATTAAATCCTACAAATGAATTGGATTCCTACAATATCTCAATCAATTATTATTAGCAACTTGTTTATCTGTTTTGTTGCAATTGATACAAATGTAAAAATTGAAAAGCAAATCAAAGCTGGATTGATTTAACGGCATTTAGTTTGAAGCACAAAATAAGGCAAATGATTGAAAAGTAAATTATTGTGCCAGTCAAAGTTGATTAAAAGGTTTCCCTAAAAATCTTTATCTTGACTACAAAACACGGAACTGTTCACCAATCACTTGAACAATTAACAATTGTCAACAAATTTTGTTATCTAATCGTGTTTTGTCCGTAACAAGTGAATATGTTCAGAAACTAAAATTTGGGTTCAATCTGAGCAAAGCTTGCATTTGTAAGTCAGACTGAATCAAAATGAATTTAGGTGTGTGATCAGATTGAGGTTCAACAGCTCTAACTATTTGTTGAAGTCGGTGAGTTTACAATCAGTGGATTAATGAAATGACATTTTTCAGTAATTAACAAGCTTTAATGTGCTTTGTTTTTCAAATTTTTGCTGGTAAAAATTAAAAAAATTCATATCGAATCCAGTTATTCGGAAAGATAAAAATATAAATATCAGAAATCATCACAATGATTGTCTTTTCTGGCTGTTTCCTGGTTTTGTCTGGTAATCTTCACTTTCCTTTCAATCAATCTTTCCACTTTAAACTCTTTTGGATTTCTCAATAGACAATGAGATCGTCCTGAATAGAATCCAGAAGATATTGTTACCCATTCATTGTAAAATATCATAAACAGCAACATTGAATGATCCAATATTTCAGTCTCAATTACATTTGTTGATAATTCCCAACTTGATTGGCTTGTGTGAAGGGAAACATTTGTTTGATTGACTGCCATTGTCCGATTAAGTAGCTTTTTGAATAGACTTGACAATCAACGTACAAAAAATAGGTTTTATACACTGATAGCTTCTAGCAAACTAAAATTGTTTACATTCAGCAATTTGTTTTTTCGATGTGCAACTGTTTAATGTCCATTTCGAACCAAAAATTGATTATCACAGCTGGTTATTAATAAACAGGATTAGAGGTAAAAAAATGTACAATCCAATGGAAATTTGAAATTTACAAAAAGTTGAAATAATCATATCGCGTATTGCTATCGTCAACATTTTCTGGTTTTCTAGTAAAATCAGTAATGGATGCCAATGAGCTATGAGATCCATTCATATAAATATGTTGAGAAGGAAGATTCCTGGATCTATCCATTGTTCCAATCATTCGTTGATTATCCTGTACTGGCGGTACAGGAGGCAAAGATGAACTTCTTTCACGGTAAATTCTGGTCTCATAAGGCGTTGCATACTCTTGATTAACAGTATCACCCATTATTGGTCGCTTATGATAGTAACATTTCATAGTCTCTGAGCCTTTAGGCAGTAAAGTTCTCGTTAATAAAGGTTGACTTCGACCAATAGTGTCATTGGCATAGCGATGTAAACTGAGTACGCTATTATCAGTGGACATGATTGTTGGATGATGAAGTGAGCCCGATTGAGGTGAAAGTGGACCAATATATTGAAAATTTTGAGCTGGTGTGTGAGTCATGTAATTAGATGCTAAAATATCAGTCTTTTTCCCTTCAATGTAAACAAATACATAAGCAACAGCACAGACGATGACCACAATGATGATTGTGATTGCGATTGGGATAACGATAAAGGAACCATAGTATTGAGCACTTCTAAGATCATCATAGCTGGGTTCAGTAACTGTAAATAATGTAATTAAGATTGATTAGTTTACCATTCAAAAATACAAAAATTAAATCATTTCAATCAACTCTGTCTTGTCATTAATATCACTAAATAGCAATTTTTCCATTTCCATTGAATTTTTTGAAATTGAATTTTACTTTTTTCTAACTATACCAACTTGTATGTCAAATGTATCAATGCGTTGACAATTATTTATGCAATTTTCACTCATCTAAATGTAAATTTTGTTAACCTTGGAATAATTTGTTACAACTTTGAATAATTGAGAGGCTATCTAAATTGATTACTAGTAAATGTGTGATCAATATTACCTGGTTGATAGGAATCTTCAAGTGTTTTAATCATGATGTTTTTACTAGGTTCACTTGATCCAGCATCAGATTCACTGACCATATAAATTTCATACCAAGTTCCACTTTTTAAATTGTCAAGTTCATAGTCGTTAGATTTTGATTTCGGAAACGACCGATGTAACCATGATGAATTTTCCTCTTTGAAATAAATGATATAATCTAATGAGAAAAAGAAGTTCAAGTTAATTTATGCATATTCCGATAACTCAAAAAGTGACCAGAAAAACCTACAATCAACATCATTGTTGACTTCACTTTCATCCAGTTTAACCAACAGACTAGAAGCTTTTTTATCAGCAATGCGTATTTTTGGTGGTTTTGGAGGATCTATAAAAAATGAATAAACAAGATTAGTCAATGGTAAAGATATGAAATTTGAAGCACCAACTGTATGTAGTCAGTTTGTGAAAAAAAGACACTAGAAAACAATAAATTAAGTTACCAAGATGTGCTGTTTCCACAGTAATTGGCGCTGAAAACGGACCAAAACCAGCGTCATTATAAGCTCGTATCATAATTAGATAACTTGTTTTAGCTTTCAAATTTTTAATTGTGGTTTTTTGTTGATAACTTTGAGCTGCATCACCATCAAATTTAATGTCTACATTGGTAGTTGGATAACTGGTTGATGATGAAGTCGTATCTTCATCCGGTTTAAGCTCTCGATATGCCAAATTATAGCCTTTGAGTCGACCTCGCCAGTGATTTGTAAACGGTGCTTTCCAGACCACCTCAATTGTCTGTGTACCTTTTGATTCAACTTGAATGTCGATTGGTGCACCATCAGGTTTCTCCTCTTTGGTTGTAAATGCTATGGTCTTGGATGGCAAGCCTTTACCCAGTGAATTTTCAGCAACCACCCTAATTGAATAGGTCACTCCGGGGTCCAGTTCTTCATATAATTGGTAAGATAATTTCAATGACGCATCCTCTTCAAACAATTTGTTGGTATTACTTGTTGTAGCGCCTTGCCAATATTGAACCAAATATCGTTTAATTGGGCTTCCATTGTCAGAAGCAGCAGTCCAGTGAAGAGATACTGTTCGAGTAAATATTTCATCAATGACAATATTTGCAGGACTTGACGGCAGATCTATTAATCAATTTAAATTAAAAAAGACAAAGACAGTTAAACTTGGCAACAAATAAAAAGATAAACATCAACATGAGATATAAATTACTGTTGACAACTGCTTGTGTCAGTTAAAGTAATCTATAAATTGTCTCATGTTGTTACTTTGAGATAATTTGAATCACCTTGGACAGTTAAAATGTTTGTTTTCTGGTCCTTTCCAAATTCATTGGATGCTTTGCAAATGTATGAACCTGAATCATTGAGCTCAACTTCACTGATGTGAAGCTCAAACACACTTCGATTACTTTCACTTTCATATGAACTATCCTTTTCAACGACTGAATAACGAGATGCTGATGAATGCGGTTGACCTGTTGAACACTCAATCGACTCTAATTTACCAGCTAATTCCCGAAACCAAGAATTTGTGATTGGTTTACCTCCAAATACTTCGCATGTTAAAACGGCCGTGGCTCCACGAAGTGCCGTAACTCGACTTGTTTTGCTTATGAATCGAGGAATATCTTAATGGAATGAAAATGAAAAGAATTGATTAGTTGAGCGAAAAGAGTAATTAAAATAAACTTGACTTTCACAGATTATCTTGATTAATCTTGATTGACAGTAAACTCATTAGTAACAAATTGATTAAAATCTCAATTAGTTAACACCTTAACAAATGCAGCACTCGACTCTAGCAATCACGTTATGATCAAACCTTTGTTAGCCAAGAGAAAATGAAAAAATGATTAAATCTCAATTAAAATGGTCAATTTCAATCAATTAGGTTTTTTGGGCTTTTAAATGTTGGCAAATGTTGACAGACACTTAACTCTTCCTTTAATCGCTATCCGACAAATGAATTAGCGAAGATGTTGTTAGCTGATTTAAGATTGCAGATTAATCAAGCATTGATCAGCGATGGATAAGGTGGTAATAATGAAAAACTTACCAAAGACTTTAATCTTAAATGTTTTACTGATTGATTGTTGATTTTTAGGGTTTGTTGCTTTGCATTCATATTGTCCATCATCACTTAATTTAACTGGATCAAGGATTAAATGAGATGATCCTGTTAAAATTACTGTACTGCTCTCTCCTGTGTCTATTGAAACAAAAGCCAATAAAAGTAAAAAAATGTATTAATATTAATGATGAATATTCAAAGGTAATTCCATAATCAGACAAATGCAGACGATAAAATGCTCAATATGTTTTGAAATGATAAATTATCCCTAAAAAATAATCAATCATTGACAGATCAACAATTGATGAGTTAATCCAGAAAAATGGGAAACAAAGCACAACAAAATTTGACCAAATTTACAGTTTCTATTTTGTTTGGTCAGTGATGAGTGATTCATATTGAAAATACTTGAATTATATGAAAGATGAGAAACACACTGAGATGTTTATTTCAGAAATGCTCCAATCTTAGGCCTAAATGATATTAATAAGGTTAAGAAATGCTAAAGTAAAAGATGAAAGCTTCGAGGAAACATCCAATGGCTTTAAGGTAAATGATGATGTTTCTCAGAATAGAAATGAAATGGAAAGGGAATGAGAAAAAAAACGATGAAATGTTGAAAGATGTGAGCTTGAAGGAGGAAAAGATGTTGAATGGCGGGTAAGAACAAGATGATGAGGATAAAGGAGAGGAAGGAAAATGATGAAGAGGAAAAGGAAAGGTTTTATGTGAAAATTGTGATCATCTTAAAATAAACATATATTAAGAGATTGTATCTGAAAGGAAAAGCATTTCTTTGGTAATTTCAATTTAACTGTGAACCGGTAAACCCATCAACTTAATTCTTTACCTATTCTTTATATTAAACAATCCAAATGTGATAATGGTTTAATGTATGTCATTAGTTAAACAATCCATTGAAATTGAAATTGTGTTTCAACAATTAAAAAACATTGTGATTGGATAGCTAAGGTTATATCTTGGGTCAAAGACATTAGATGATTGAGAAGACATGGAAATGTATCATTGTACTGTTCATCGATAATCGATATTTTTGGGTTATAAGGCATCTGGATAATGAAAAAATGATCATCATTTGGAGGAAAAGTGGAAGATAGTGAAGGATGAGAAATGTTTTTAGGTGTAAAAAAAGAGGTAAATTTTGAACAGGAATTGCGTTTGACTAGCCATTTAGATCAGGATAAGAGATGAATACACGAAGATGATGAAAGTAAGACTGATGATGATGATGATGTCACGAATCATAAATCTGACTGAATATAATAAATTGAATTATGTTCAGGTATGAAAAAGATGTTTAACCATAATAGAGATGCAACTTTCACTTTCCAACCTTGAGATGATTTTCTGGTTCCTTTGCCTTAAACTAATAAATTGTAGTGAAAAATGGTGCCATTGATTGTTATAAGAATAGGTGAAAAATTCAATTTTTTTCCTCAAATTCCGTTTGTTTTTTTCATTCAAAACCTGAGCTGTTTATAGCTTAAACGATGTTTGATGATATACTTTCTCTGTTGGCTAATGTCATAACCACCCATGTGTTTAAAATTGACTGGTTGTTTAGATTATTATCCTTAATGGTTTAATAAGATTTATAATTTGGGTGATTCACTTAATGTATCACTTACTGTATATTTTGGTTATTTGATTGCAAGCACTTTTTGGGTATTTAATGGTTTTTGTTTGTTTCTCCTCTACTTATTGAGCTATGGTTGAAATTTCGCTTCAATTGGGTTACAGCTTGCGGAACTATTTCAAATGAATCCGTAAATTTTTCTCTGAATAATTAAAAAATTACAAATCAATTTACATATAAGTACAGAATGTGTCAGAAAAATTAAATCAATTGCAACAATCAATGATTGACACCTCGATAATAAACAAAAAACAACAGTGTTAATCTTGCGATAAACATGGCGTGTGTTTTGTTGAAACATTTGTTTTACTCAAATGAATAAACAACTAAAAACAGCGAGAAAGCTGATTGATAATTTAGGTGGAAAGCAGTCTATTGATTGGCTATATTATTGATCAAACAAATTGTAGGAATCGGCACTAGAATGAAATAGGAAATTAAACTTGTAAGCTAAAAATTACAAAAGTAATGAAAGCTGCAAGGCAACAATTATAATATCGTCTGGCTTATGGATTAAATGATTAAATTTACCCAAAAATGGAGCTCTCACCTTGATGAGTGATCTTTGACCATCTGATTATAGGCTCAGGTGTTCCATGAGCTGAGCAGTTAATCTTTATTGAATCTCCTAAACCCAGATTCAAGTCATATGGCACTTCATCCCATTCAGGAGTAGTCGAGTCTTCACAATGTAACCAATTATCGGTTTGTGTTTTATACCAAGGAAATTGCCAGAAACAAGTTGATGAACCAAGCAAATGAATAAATAAAAATCAAAAGATAATTAAAAATGAAATTAATATAAATAATGTCAAGTTAATTAAAAAAGGACATTAAAAGAGTTGCAATAATTTTGGGTTGAACAAGAAAAGGTTGATAAACTTGTGTTTACAGTCACCTACCAGAAACTGCACCTACCAGAAACTGCACATAATTTTTTCAACGGTCCCTCTTCTTGTTCTTCTCTTTCCATAGTCATCTTTGTTTACATTTTTTAATGAAGTAAATTATTAATTTATTGTAATTAGTTGTTGTATTTTTACTTGTTATGTGATGCCACGAAGGAATTTGACCATCAGAGAAAGAGTCAATGTTATCTCTGACCGGGAAAACAACAACACAAACATTAATGAGCTTTGCTCAAAATATAATGTCAGTCGCTGGACAATAAATAGAGTTTTGTGTAACAGAGAACCGCTTAAAGAAGCTCATGAAAATGGCCAAAGTAAAAGAACCAGGTAAATTAAATGTCTATTTTAAAGTAAATTGGTGAAATATATTAATTGTTATTTTCTCATTATAGGATAGAAAGAAGAATTGAATTGAAAGATTTTGATGGTCAAATTCTAGAATGGGTTCGTGATTGTAATGACAAAGGAATACCAATGAGTGGAACAATGATAATTGAGTTTGCCAAAACAATAAATGACAATTTTAATGGTACATGGAGTTGGTTTTATCGGTTTAAAGAAAGAACTAAATTGAAATTAGGTGTCAAAAGTGGAGAGCGATTGTCAGTTGATAAATCTCACCACAAACTATAGTGAACTGTTGGAATCATTGTGGATATGTTTCCCTTGATTTCAATGATGAATATGATCTCGAAGAAGAACAAAATGATGTTAATAACTTGTTAATTGAATTAAGAAATTTAAATGTAAATTGTTGCTCTTATGACGAGCTTATGGATCAAAATAATTTTGATTTTGTTAATGTTTTTGATGAATAAAGATTACTGTTTCTGTTTAAATAAGCTATTTGCACAGCAATGTGCTATTTCCAGCTTGGTGCAGTTTCTGGTAGGTGACTGTAGTCACTTTTGTTGACATAAAAAAAACAAAAACCGTTGGTCGATCGATATATCGATTGATGCCAATTAATTGATTTATAATTGATAAATTTTGTACAAAATAAATCAATCTTAATTAGCAATGGTAAAAAGCCTCCCTGATTCAATCTTAATTGCAACCTTTAATTATCCTCAATTCCACCGCATTAAATGACTAACACCAACTATCAATTAGCTTAATAGTCAATCATAATGATTAACCGATTCATTTTTAATTCATATTTGCTTTGATAATTGTCCATTGGCAGGTAAACAGTTAAATCAATGAAACTGGATCAAGTTCAAATGGTTTCAACGGTTGAACACAAAAAGAGTTTCAGCTTTCGATTTTCATGAAACCAGATTTGATAACATAATTGTGATAAGATTGATTAAACAATAACAGTTGGTCTTTGTAAATAAAGATAAGCTAAATTGTAAAATATGAAAATAGTGTTGATTAAAATGATTTCACTTGTTTCAATGCATTTCAGCTTAAAATGGTTAACTGATGAAAATAACATTCAAGAGTTTCTTTCATCATTCATCATGATAATTGAAAGCTTTTAATCAACACCATCAACTGAATCGGTTTGACTGAAAAAATTTAGATAAGCAAAGTCTTTAAGGAAATTTGCCTCAAAAAAAAGTAAATAAATCAACTCAATCTTTCCCTTTTCCCGTTCTTTGTCCATTAAATCAATCTTAAATCAAGTCTGTTTAATCAACTGATTAATCTAATGATTTAGTGAATAGTCAAAGATTAAAATGGTTAATATTTAATGAATGATTCGTCTTTAAATTAGGGTTAAATCAGGATTAAGTTGCAAGAGATGTTGAGGTGAAAGAAATGAAACTTACCTGCAGCTGATGTTGTCATACAAATACATAATGATACAAATATGGTGATGAACATTTTAAATGATTGTTGATGAGAAGAGCGATGTGATTAAATTGTTAAACAAATTATGGTTAAATAAAGCAATCATTTGCAAATGTGAGAAAATGAAAAACACGGTTAAAGAAACGCTTGGAAACGCTTGAAGCAGAGTTGCTTGTATCCGTTTTAGTAGCTATTGTTGATGAAGATGATGATAAAGGTAAAGTGTGACTTACAATGAATTACAAGTGAATTAATCATGATTAAGTTGAAACAATTAAAATAATAATAGAAACATAACAATAGGAATCCATAGAAATGGTTAAGATGGTAAAGAGGGGCAAAAGCTCGTCAAGTGTTTATCAGACGATTATACCAACAAATGGTTAAAGTTAAATTATCAGAAAAAGTGAGAAGCATCATTTTAATGGTGATATTGATGATGATGAGAATGATGATGATGATGATGTTAAGGCTGTCACTTTAATAATCATCATAATGTTTGTGGTCTTTGAAGGATGACAAACTGCATTTCATCTTATCTCTGTTCACTGACAATAACCTCCCATTGAATAAGGGAGTTAATAAGAGTTGATTATTGTGTCAAACTGTAACTTTATTATCATTGAAAAGCGCAAATTAAAAGAGTTTATTCATTTTAATTGTTTAACGTTTAATTAAAATGTATACTTCATCAGCAATCCATTCACCAATGTGGTTACTGAGAGACTGAATCACCATTTCAAGTGTTATTAATAACAACGGATTTCCTCCAATTTTGTTTAACTTTAACAAAAGTAATACAATTTGTTCATTTAATTACTAAGTTACAATTAGATATTACTTTGATCATCATTTATTTGATTTCAATTTTCTGCTAATGAGTCGGATCGAGTTGAACAAATCAACTAAATCCTCCTTTAATTGTGATCAACAAATTATTTAAATTCATCAATTCAAGGTTGAATTAGGTCTTGATTATGATCAAATTGCCTCGAAAACGAAGGCCATTAAATTGTTGAAATGCTTAACATTAGTTAATTTAGCAAATTGGTGTAAAAATTTTGCTTCTCTGATTATAATCAACTATAGTTTAACATTCATTGAAATGTGATGTTTTCAACTAAACATAAATTGTAAGGTTCAATCTGGTTCAAAAGTAAGGATTGAAGCATTTTATGGATAAAACCTTTAGCTAATTTAAATGTTTACAGATTAAGAAAATCTGTTGAGTGTAAATGAAAGATTGATTGATTTTGATTAACCATGTTAAGTTCAGAGATAACTCAGGGTTTAAATAAGTGGCAGAATCATTATTAAACATAGATCCATTAAAGGTTGCTATTGTAGTTGGTAAATTATCAAGAAATCAATTGTGATGATATCATCATTAACAGGTTGAAATTCAAGTTAAACCCAAAAACAAGCTAAATTGTGATTAAGAGGTGGGTGAAGATAATGATTTTGAGTGTTTTTTTAAGCTACCATTGAACTGGGAGGATGTTTGGCAGTACACTATGAGGTGGTGAAGTGACAAAAGTGAATCTCTTTTTCCTATGATTTTTGTTGGATGGCAATGATTCGGTAGCTTCATCAAAATGATCTGATCTTTTGATTCAGCGATCTTTCTGATGGAAAAATCAATTTATATCAAGAATATTTCAAAAGATTTAAACTGTATTCTCGACTGTAATGGCAAGTTTAAACGCCAATATACAATGTAGTAAGTTTGTCTGAAAATAGTTTCCAATCATTTTGCGTTAAGAATTCAATTGATTCATTTGATTGAAAAAAAAGTAATTTTAATATTGAAATTTTAAGCTTTGATGCCTTGAACAACATGCTACTGAAAAGCGTATAAAAAAATAAATAAAACCTTTGGTTCTTAATTGTCATAGAGAATAGATTACAATTAATGTTATTGAAAAAGCTAACCTTAGGTAAACTTAATTGAATTAGGATAAGTGATTCAATTTATCTTCTCCATCCACTCCAAGAATAGTCAGGGTAGTCATAATTGCTTGCTGGATATCCAGAAGGACCAGTAGGAGCATTATAGCCACCCATCACATAAGGTATGTAAGGATAGTTAGGAGCCATGGATCCACTATTAGCGACAGGATTAATCGGGTAAGGAGCATAACTATTGGTACCAGAAACACTTATACCAGGACCATTGGAGCCTCGTCTCATGGGTCCTGCTTGGAGGTTTGGTGCACCATTCGGACCAAAGCCGTTATTGTTACCACCGATGAAGTTGTTCATTCCTGGTCCACCAGCAACTCCCATACCAGCTCCTCCTGCACTTGAACCTCCTAAGATTGAGCTCAGGTTTGGTGGACCTTGCATTGAACCCATAATGGGACCGTTGTTTCCATTGTGGTTGTTATTGTTGTTATTATTCATGGGACTAGCTGCTGAACCACCGATGAAGATAATGTGAGGTCCATCTTTTTTATCCTTTTTATCTGTTGACGATGAGCGGAAAAGGTTGAAACTTGATCTTGAAATTGAACCAGAGGAATCACGATCTGAAAGAGCTGACTCAATCTGTCCCATGGCTCCACTGGAAGAAGGTAAAGACGATCCTGGAGGACCGAGTATTATGATGATGGGATCACCGTTTTTAGACGAACCAGAGACTAAAGGTGAATAGTTGGTGAAGAGAAACAGGGAAAAGAAAAGATTCCAAGAAGAAAATAATTTAAAGATTGAATTTACACTCATTTTGAGTGTATCTTTATCCACTTGACGAATCGCTTGTTAAACTATGACACTTGATGAAACAAAACTAACCAATGGAGATCAGATCATGAGATGTTTGCGCGCAAAAAGCTAACAGTGAAATGAAGATGAATTTATGGTGTGATCGTCCTAAAATAGACTTCACCATTTTAATGGAACAACGATTTTTCTCCCATCCTTTTTGTTCACCAATTAGTCTTAAAGCCCGTTATAGTTGGTAATTAATTAACAAATGGCGAGTATTTAGGTTGCTTGGTTGAGATCAATACAAAGCTTTGGCCTTAAAAATTGATAAAAGAAAAAAAAAGAAACTTTTAAAGATGAGTTCAACTTTGATACAAACCTGAAAGGTGAATAAGTAACGTAAAAATATCATTCAATAGTCTGTATGGCTTGAAAGGATCATAATGTTGATGTTCAACAAAAAGATGTTCATTGTCATCTTCATCCTCCACTGTTCCAATAATCATCTTCATTCATTTTCACCAACTGTACATCTTTCCTGAACAACAATATCGTCTACCGATTCTTGCTTCCCTTTCAATGAGCGTTATGGCTTACTGAATAGATTCATCTTTTGCGTGGCTAATTAATTCCCTGTGAATAATAGCTCATCTAAATTCATGATAATCTTTAATCCTGTTAATTTATAAAGACAAAATTGGGTTATCTTAACTATCACCTAAATCATCTTCAATGATAGTTACATTTATTCAATTTTCAATCTTCATATTGACTTATTGTCCTGTTAAATACATTATACATCTGAAATAGAAATGAAGTTAGAATGAAAAATTGGGTTGACAGAATTATGAGGACATATCGATAAAAAATTAGTCAATATCGGGTACATTAATGTCAACCCAATGTTTAGGTTTAACCAAGACTTAAAAATTTGGTCTTGGTTTTGATATTTGGTTTTGGCTTTAATTATTTCTATCATTTATTGTTGTTCATTTCTTGTGTTTATTCATTTCTCAGAGTCAAAGTATTGAGTCGGATCGAATTGAGTTGAACTAATCAACAAAGTGTCTTTTAATTGTGATTGTTAAAGAACTATCCCCTGATTTAATCAACTTTGCCAACCATTCAAAAGTGAATTTCAAAATTCGTCTATTGGAGTCCATTGATCCATTGATCACCAAGACTTGAATTATGCTTTTGAAGAAGGTCATTAGATTCTTGAAATGGTTTAAACACTTGTTAATTAGAATGATTGGTGTAATTAGCTTCTCTGATTAACATTAACATTATCATCATAGGAACTTAACATTCATTGGAATGCAATGTTTTCAGCTAAATATAAATTGTAAGGTTCTTTTTGGTTTATAATGATTCAAGTATAAAATGGATGAAACCTTTAGCTAATTTAAATGTTTACAGATTATTCAAGAAAAATTTGTTGAGTGTAAATGAAAGATTGATGAATTTTGATTAACCATGTGAGCTTCAGAGATAACTCAGAGTTAAATAAGCGGCAGAATCATTATTAAACATGAATCCATTAAAGGTTGCTATTGTACTTGGTGAATAACCAAGAAATCAATTGTGATGATATCATCATTAACAGGTTGGAATTCAAGTTAAACCCAAAAACTAGCTAAACCAAATTGATTAGTTAATTTTTGTCCATTAAATGTTTCACCTTTTAATGTAATCTAATCACGAAATAATATCGAGACTGAATTTTTCTTTCTTATTCTCACATTGTCAGTCCTTTTAGAATCTGAATTGATCAGATCTTTTTTTAATGTTCATTTATTCATGTTGGAATATTTTACATTTATGGTTTTGTTTGGTTCATGTTCAACCCATTGTTAACAATTGAATATTTATTTACAGCTCATGATAATGATCTACATCATCAATAACCTGTCATCTTCAATATCATCTGAGTTTCAATCTCATCTTCCTGTTTTCCTGTTGCCACTGAAAAAGCCTTTTAACCTCAGTAGCCATTTTAATGGATGTTTTCAGTGTAACCTTATTTGAGTTTCATTTTAGAGTTTATAATTTGATTATCATTTGAAAAGCTATTCATTGAATAGGAATTGGAAACACTTTATGATAATTGTTTCAACATTTTCCATTGAACCGTTGATTGCTAGGCAAATGTTTAATCTGTAAAGAATAACAATTTGCATTTGATTGATGTAACGTAACACTTTAAGTAAACACTGATCACTAGTTAAGTAGCGAGTGATTGATTTTAAACACGAGAGTTAACATTTTGGTAGACTTTGTAGACAAATTTAGAGCAATAAATTAATTTATTATCATTTAGTTAGTTTATGTGTATAATTGATTCAATACTCTATTGAGTTTGTTTTTCGTATCATTTCATTTTGCGCTGATAATTCACGCTTTCAAGTTGATTTTTATGTTTGATGTTTCACTAAAAATGGGGAATCAGTTGCAGAGGAATTATTAAATGAGTCATTTGGTCGTATGGTACAAAAAAAAGATGCGAAAAAAATTCATAACGAGAATCACGATTGAAGAAATGGTAAAACCATGAGAGAAAAAAAATGAAATTACATGTTGCATGCATTTAAATTAGGCTTGGAAGGAAAAAAAATTGTACGAACGAGTGTTTTCATTATCACAATTATGAACATCAGCTTTACAGAAGATATTTGAAGATGAAGGAGTTGATGAGGAAGTTGATGGGCCAGGTTGCTGGGTTGATGGTGAACCATGATGGTGAGATGTCGAAGATGCGCAGTTATTTGGTGTATATTGTTGCTGATGTGAGTATGATGTAGATGGTTGAGATTGAAAGTGAGATGAATGAGCTACTGTTGGTGAAAGCATTGTGGATGTTGATGGCTTATGTGATTGAGAGGTGGGTGATGGTTGAGAGTGGTTTAAGGTTTTATCATTAGCTACCATTAAACTACTGGGAGGATGTTTTGGCGGTGCACTACGCGGTGGTGGAGGCGGTGAAGTGGCAAAAGTAGAAACTCTTTTTTCCCTGTGATTCTTATTGTATGGCAATGATTCATAAATATAATTTTCAGCTTCTTCTTCTATTATGGGTCCTTGTTGTTGAGCCCAAAGAGCTGAAGGAACTGGTGGACGAGCAAGCAAAGGTTTACTTCGATCAGATGAATCGGAATAACGAAGAGTCAGTGAACTTTCCTCAGACACAATGGACTGCGAATGATTGGGTGTTGATGAGGCTGTAGAAATGTATTGAAAATTTTTGGATGGAGATGTAGGCATTAATCCTGCTCTAAGTAGCGCTGCTTTCTTCTCTTCTAGATTAATATATGAATAGGCCACAGCACAAACAATAACCACTACAATTATGGCAATTGATATGGAAATCACAATCATGGTATTAAAATAGATAGGCACTGAGCGATCTTGCGGTCTTTCAAGCATATTTCGTTCTGCGGAATAACTTCTAAGCACTGTGAGGAAATAAAATAAATGATACAAAGAAAAAAAATGAAAAATCAAACAAGGTCAATACAAAAGGAAATACAAAAATTTCGAGAACATTTGTAAACAAAGACATTTTTTTACTCACCAAAATTTTTGCCCAAGCTTTTCATCACAGCACCAAACTCCTTGACATTGATTTTACCATCACCATCTTTGTCGAACAGCGAGAAAGCTTCATCAATATCGCTCATCTGATCTCTTGATTCACCCGTCATTTTGATTAAAAAAAATCTATTAACACAAAACCAATGGATTGGGAACAAGAACCACCTGGCTGATTTTCACAACAAAAGCAGGAAATCCCAATCTAAGAAGAAGACATTAGTCATACCATTACTAACATTGCTCTTCGACTTGAAAGACATTTAAATTTTCATCTCTTCTTGCATTATCTTGCTACAAGCGATAGTGCAGCCATCTATTAAATTAGTTGTGTCTGAAAATGCAACACATGTTGCGACTACTACTGCCATCTAGGTTGGTGAAAAGAATTTATTGATTGATTCCGAAAAAATCGGAATCGTCTATTCGTTGGTTAATCTTTTCCCTCTTTTTTATACGCATCTTTATCCACACCTACTAAACAAAAAGTTTTCATTCACCCTGTATTGTGAGAGAGAAAAGAGAAAAAATAATATAAAAAAAGGAGAGAGAGTAAACGTAAGCAACAACAGCAACATCAACAGGCAGATTCTTTCTCTCCATTTCTCTCTCTATCTATCTCTCTCTCCTTTTCATCCATATCTGTCTGTTATTCTGTTTTGGTTGTTTGTCAGTGTTTGACATTAACTTAACATCACGATCATCATCATCGCCATCAGGAACAACAACAACAACAACACTACCAACAACAGCAAGACCCACAACACCAGTAACAGCAACAGGACCAGGACCAGGACCAGCAACAATACACCAATAATATTAAACGTTAAAGTAGTCAACATTATGAACCTCAACAATCACCATCTCAGCTCATGTCAAACATTAACCATTGACAATTGTAATTTTCTTCAATTAATTGAAAAAGAAGAGAAACGTTTGGATTTAGAATGGCAAGAGGCTTACCGTGAGATAACCCGGATTGAAAGCTTAATCAACAGTTATACTGCTCATAAATTAAACCTTCTTGCCAAATTGGATACTATTGAATTAAAGAAAAGTGAATGTGTAAAGAGGAAGACCAAGTTAATCGGGGAAATGTCATGTCTACCTTTACCCATTGACGGTAATTATTTTCATTTTATATTAAAAAATTTAATCCCATTTTTATCCATCTTTTCCAATATCTCAATATATCTACGTATGTTATTTTTCCTTTCCTTTCCCATTCCATTCCTTTCTCTTTGCTCATATTCCTTTCTTTCTATCTTCCTTTCTCTTCACTGACTTTCTCTGTCTCTATTTTTCTTCTTTTCTACCTTTCTGTCTCTATTTCTTTTTTTACTTTCTGCCATCTTCTTCTTTTAAAATTAATTGTCGTGGTTAAATCATTACAGTCTCAAGCCATTGATCGCCTTCAATCTTACAATCCCTTTTATCTGACCAATAACCTTTTTCATTTGAAAAAAAATATATTGCATTCAATCAACCTAATTGAAAATAGACAAAACCAAAATGCTATCAAACCAATCTAATCTTTTCATTTCACTCTTTCTTCAATCCAATCCTTTCCATCATTTTTTTACCTTTTTTGTTCTTTCGGATATTAATCTTTAGCTTTTCCAACAAATCAAACCCAATTTTTGCAATTGATTCATTGATCGATTTCATTTGTTAAACTCATTCATAATTTTTACCACCATTCATGTCAAAATGCATTTAAATTTTTATTTAAACCAGATCTTTTTACCCAAAAAAATTGTCTTTTATATGCAACAATCGATCAAAAAATATAAACCGAATCCAACAACAATAGAAATATATGCATAATTAAGACATTTTTCGCACACCTGATGATATTATTACATTAAACAGTGATTTATGATTCTATCTGTTTTTAGTGTATCACAGCAGTTGATATCAATTCCAATATTAGATCAATTTAATGTATATATTTGAACACATTTTTTTTTCTTGCTTTTCTCAGAAAACAATCCAATTGTTGCAATTTATTTTCATCTGAAAAACAGTTGATTAATCAAAGTGAAAACAGATCAATGAAATGCAATTCTTTAAATTTTTTACCCACAAATTGTTAATCAACTTTCCATTAATCTTATTTTCAATCATGTTTCAAATGTAACTTGATGTAGACTCAATTGTTGCCATAACTTTCCAACCATTCATGTTGTTTTTACGTAGTTGATTGAGACACTGATTAATTATAACCAAGAAAAACATATTGAATTGATATCAAAGTTGGAATAATTTCTTGTAAGATTTGCAATTAACTTTAATTTACACACTTACTCTCATGATGGTGATGTTAAAGATGATGAGAGATGATTTGACAGCTTGTGTGTACACACCTTTAGTGATCAACTAAATGAGCTCCTGACATGCATTATTATTATTATTATTTGGTTACAATTGAATGTATTTATAATATTATATATATTATATGTATTTATAAATATATATTTAAATAATTATTTATCCTGTTCTCACCTACGAAATGAACGAAAGGAAACCAATTTTTTCTTCATCTCCTCTTTTTGTTGTCATATTGGAATGGTTGGAGGAGTAATGGAAGAGTTACAGGTAAAAGTGGTTAGCAAAGGAAAGTATCTTAAGTAATGTACAATTGTTGTGCAGATTCGCAATAATTTACTCCATTAACTGATAATCATAATAATTCTTGTTCCACGTTGATACACAATTTCCAAGCTACATGGTTTAAATATATAAACGAAAATGAATTTTGCAGAAACTCAAAATTTTGCTCTTTTTCTCTATTTACTTTTTGCTTGTATATTTTCATTCTTACACACACTTTTTTCATTCAAAAATCCTTTTCCGTTTACAGCAAGACTTTAGGGAGTTTAAAGTGGTAATAAGAGTGGGAGATTGAAGGAAGAAAGTAAAGGATGATGATGATGAGAAAAAAAAGAGGAAGATGAATGCGAAAGGGAGAGTGAAGAGAGAAGTACAAAAAATGATGTTTACTCTATCGTTACTATCATGAAACAGACCAACGGACTGCTGTAAATGGTGTTGCTGATGATGGTGATGATAGTGAAGTAGTAGAGGTAAACATGAAAAAAGTGTTTTTTTTATTAAGAATTCAAAAGAATGGTAAAAAAAAGTTTCCAAAATAATGTACCAGCAAAATGGGTCCATGACCTTTTCTTTCCTTCTCTTGGGGTTGAGGAAACTCAGAACAAACCAGAGGAACAGGTCAGATTGATTGGAGTGTAAACGATCATCATCATGACAACAAAACTACCAACTTATTCTCATAAATGAGAAGATGAAGTTGAGCAAGAACTTTCGATCCATAACACAAAACCAATACATTTATCAGTCTTTTGTTTTTTTTCTTGCTTCAATTTCGTTTTTTTTGCTCATTCATTCCATTCTCTTTACTTGATTCTTTGTGTGGGCAATTTACCTCAAATACTTTGCCACCATCATCAACATCATGATGATCATCTTAACCATTTTCATCGACATCTTCTCCTTCCTCTTCCTTTTAGTCCCTTTAACCTAACAGGTTGCAATCTTGCTTCCATCTTAATACAAAATACAATTAATCGAAAAACATGCAAAATTCATCTTCAAGTATAGTCATAACATCATCATTCTCATCATGATGATCATCATCATCATTATTCTAATCATCATAACAAACAACAAAAGCAGCAGAAGCAGAAAAAAAAGATAAGTGGAGAAAATCAAAGTTGGAAGAAGAGAAAAAAAAATTCAACAAAAAAGGAGATAAAGAAAGAGAAAGTAAGAAAGTGAATGAAAATAAGAAGAAGAAAGGAAAGGTTCTTAACCCAGACGACAGATTACCTGTAACCTGTTAAACAACTTTCATAATCATTGCTATAGTGAGCAAGTGAATTGCTGGGTCGTGGCCTTTTCAATACATCCTTTTCCGATTGAGATCGCATTTTTGCTGCCTTACCTGGGCGAATTAAATACGCACACATCAACATTCATTTAGCCTTAAAATTCTCACTCACCTTGTTCATGTTTTCATCTCATTCTTCTCATGTTTCATTGGTCGTTCATCTCTCTCTCTTCAAACCTCAACTTTACAACCTACTAGTACAATCATCATCATGATGATCTTATAATGAACAAAAAAAAATTGAGATCGCATCAGACTTTTGTTGATCACGATATTGATTCACTGCATTTCAATCAACATTGTACCAAGATTTTGTTGCAATCAATGAATATTTAATTTTCATTGGATAATGAAAAAAAATGTCTATTTTTTCTCATTTCCAATCAATGAAAATAAATTATTAACTTGGCTTTATTTTGCTTTTTCAACTCTCCTTTTCTTCCATTCTGTGAAAAGTTACAATAAGACGAAAACCAGGTTATAATAATCAATTATATTGCTATTCTGATGATGATGATTATGGTTATTCATCAGATTATTATGTTTGTAACAAAAGTTTTTTTATTGCTATTTATGAAGCAAGAATTGCTTGTCTTAATAATGTTTTAATATTTCAATCGATATTATTGATGTTACTGTCATTGTTATTATTTATAAATTTCATATTCAGCTATCCAGTTTTGCGTGTCAGGTAACCCTAAATTGATGAAAATGAGAGTAAAAGAATCAAGAGATTTACCAATTTCTCTAGTTTCAATCGTAATCAATAAGTGCATGATGAAGATTATTATTTATTGGTAACAATGATGATCTTTTTAATGAAGGTAAAGACAAAGTTTTTTTTTCTTCTTGAACCCATTTTATATGAATATATAAATTTTTTGCCTAATCGTTAGTTGAAAAAGCAATGTTAATCATTGAAATTTAATGATCGTTGGTTGACGGTGAAAATTAATGATTAATATTTTGTTAATTTAATTTCTTTTCGACTAAAGAAATTGAACAATTTTTGTTAAATTGATTTTCTCCATCAAAAGGTTAATCATTCAAAAATGATTATCTGCCTGTCAACATTACAATTAACTGATGTTAAGAATAACTGAGAAAATAAAATGCATTTTGATGACAATTTTTGTTTTTATTTCGCTTAATTGCTGCAAAATGTATTTTTAAAATTTACCTTCTGATTAACTAAATTTAAAATTGAAATGAATACCTTTTTTCAATGATATTTCTTGGCATCAGCTCTTGTTTCATTTGTAACATTTTGTGATTATAATAATAATGTTTGATTGGTTAAGCAAGTTAAATATAATTCAAGAATAATTTAATATCTTTGACCCATCATTTACCAATTTATAAATGAAAGTTACCTAACCTGTCTACCTTATTACCTGTAAAAAAGACTCCTTTTGTATCCAAGTAAAACGTTGGTTCAATGTCAATTGTTTATTGATTGTTAATCTAATAATAATTTTTTCTTTTTCTTTGCCTTTTTCTTGAACAGATTTTTCAGATATCCATCGATTCAATAGTGATGATGAACTTCAAAATTCAAGTTTATGTTTACGTGAAAATGGAAGTGAAACTGGGTCCAATAGTTTTTCAATGGATAATATTGTTGCCGATTTACTTCAAACAATCAGTGAAGGAACCGGTGTTTCTGGTAATGGCGGAGGCTCAATCGGCTGTGGGAGCAGTTCATTAGGTTCAACCGGTAATGGAACCTATGAAAGGCCAGAATCATCAAGCAGTGTAACCTTTTCTTCAGGCTCATCAGATTATCCAGCAACTGTTGGCCGAATATCATCGCCCCAATCAACAGTGACCTTAGCATCTTCAGCTACAACAATCGGACCTGATCTTCATACTCACTCAAACCACCTTCATCATCGGAATCAAAATAACAACAACAATAATAATAATAATATCAACAACAACAACAACATCATCAACAATAACAATAATAATAATAGTAATAACCATCATCATTCTGGTAATGGTATGAAACCAGTTACTGTAGCATCAATTGTGAGCAACATATCCGGAAGTAATAGCAACGCCAGTAGCATAAGTTCAGAAAAAAGTAACAACAACATGAATGGTCACCATAGTATTAACAATTTGAATACCAATAATAATGGAAATAACATTGAGAATGAGGAGTCAAGTTCAGCCGGAAGTAATGTAACCTCTAGTCAAGTTGTCGGTCCTCCACCACGATTCAGCTCTAATCGTAGTTTCAATACACATAAAGTGCAATATAATTCCGTCCTTACCCTGGAAACCTCATCCAATGGTTACGTTTACAAGGCTTTAAACGATGGAACCGTAATGAGATATAAATTTGGTAATCCTTCAGATAACCAAACCTTTCCTGGGCACAAGGAAAAAGTCAAAGTTTTGGTTCTTGATTCAAAATCTCAATTGCTTTATACTGGCTGTGATGATGGTAATGTTAGATGTTTCAATGCCAACACCGGTCAACTGTGTAACCAATTTTCTTGTGATGGTATAGTTATCAGTATTGATAGATCAGTCGATGAGTATCTAGTTTTTGCTACCAATAAAGGCTGGATTTACCTGGTTAACCATAATTTTAAATTAATTTCCTCCCATCGAACCTTTAATTGGATTTTTGCTGTTCGCAATGTACTTCATCCATTCAAGGATGGCTCCAAGCGTCTCTTGGTTATCCCAATGAAACACAAGCCAACCGTTGTCGAGGCAATGTCCGGTAAAATTTTACAAGAAATTGGCTCATCAACAATTGAAAGTCGCCCCTGTCTCCAGGTTAACGGAAGTATTGCCATTTTAGCTTCAGTTGTTGACAAATCAGATAATGGAACCTCTCATATAAATGTTTATGATTCTGCAAGTGTAAGTCAAGATAATGATCAAAGTGACAAGCAAAAATTAGTTAAATATCACTAGATATCACTGCTACATTTATCATCTTATTAGTATCATAATTATCAACCTTCCTCTCAGTGTTACAATCATTCAACACTTTTCTTACTCTCATTAACTCTCACCTTTAATCTTTACCTTTCACTTTTGTCATTCTTAATTCATCCATTTTATCAGGTTAATGAACCAATAGGTTTTTACCTTTTCTTTTGCATAATACTTTACCAATATACAAACGGTAAATGCAAATGACAGGTTAAAGAGTTAACACAAGTAGGAAATCGATTAACTAAAATTAACATGTTTAATTATAACGATACTTATCGATTCCGTATCGTTCTCTCAACGTTACCTTTAAATTCTCGTTCTTGATGACAATAATCACGTCAATAATGGTACTAATAACAGTTGAATTGTTACAACTTTACAATGATGGTTAATGTGTTCAGTAAACAATTGTAATTGATGTAACTTTGATTCTTTTTTTTAAAAAACAATTTACTCCTTTTACTGGTTTTTTCATTCTTTGTCACCTTGATATAAATGCTAATTTAAATTTTAACTTGTAATAAAATTTTACTAATTTTTCTTGTTTTCTCTCAATTCAGAATTGGAAGTGTATTCAACTAATTAAAAAGGAAGGATTGATATCTTCAATGTGTACTCATGGACATGATCTCTATGTTGGCATCAAGTTTCCTTCCTATGGACATGTCCAATGCTTTAAATGGTCAAATCGATCTCTTTACCTTAAATGGGTTGCCTGTATTGCCTATGTCCATACACTATCAGTTATGCCCTCGGATGTTCACAATTTATCTCTCATGCCATCCGATATCGTTCTTAATGGTGGACCTGATGGTAACGTTTACAATACGACACCTAATGCGAAAGGACCTTTTTTCTGTATGAACAAAAAATGTGATTGTAAACTGCCTTTTGCCCGAAGAAAGGATTTAGATTTTCATTATTCCAAGCTTCAATCATCATAAAGCCAACTTGTTCAGTAAACGGAGCCGATTCTTGGAGAAGCGCAAAAAAATCCTTTTGTGTTTCTCATCATTAGCCTGATGACGATGATGACGATGATGGTGATGAAGAAAAAGCAAAAAGCAAAATAATCTTAAGTCTTCAGACAATAAAATATGTCAGTAAAATTATTGGCAGACTAAAGATTGAAAGGAAAAGGAGAGTTACAATGAGCACATGACAACAGCTACATCTACAATAATAATATCAATCAAAAAAACGATTTTATCCGAAAAATTATTTAAAGCATGGAATTTTGTCCAATTAAATCAACATAATCATCTTTTTGGTCTCTCTCATACAAGCATACACACACACACAATCACAACACACTCATACATAAAGTACCAAATTTTTTCAGCTCTTTTCAACTTACACTAAAGACTATGAAAAAAAAGAAGAAAAAGAAACAAAAAAAGCAAGGCAACAATTGAATATCAACACAAATCATCAACAAAAGTAACACAAGTAAACGAGCAAATCAACAACCTCACCAATTGGAATGTCTTTCTGTTTTTTTCTATTCTGGAAAAGTCTCTTTTACTCATGATACACCAACAATACACACACATGAAAGCACATCACATTTTTTGCTTAAATCAGGCACAAATTGAAACATAGTCAGATTGGTCTAATTTTTTAATCAATTTTTTGCTCCTCAAAAAAAGTGTGTAATCTCTGTTGGCAAAAAGACACCATCAACAGTTCAACAATCAACAAAACATAAACTCTTTTCACACTTCCTTTTTGTTATACATCAACACTTAGCTTCATCTTCCTTCCTCTTTCCTCTCACTCTCACTCTTGCTATTTTTGTTTTTTTTTGTATCAATCTCTCAATCATAATGCTTTATATTTGCATATATACAAATTTGTCTACGTATATGTTTGCAAGTTCACTGTCTCTCGACACATCTTAAGCCTTTTTGCCCTTCTCTTCGTCTTTCTCTATTCCTTTGTTTCTCCTCTCCTTTCCCCGATTCAGTTACCAATCATAATATATCCCTTAATCATTGTCATCATCTTGAATTTTGTCCTCAAAATGTTGACTGAATGGTTGCTGATTGTTCCTATGAAAAAAAAACACAAATCATCACCATCAAAGCCTAAGACGATTGATTGCTTTCGATATTTTGGATCAATTATTTTGTCCAACTAAACCAATTTTGACCATCTATTTTTTTTAATCATTGAACATCCAAACACGCAACAAACACAATTCTCAATCATGAGAAATATTGAAATATTGTTAACTCTCAAATAATCAAAGACAATGGTTGATGTGTGATAATAGTGACTCTTGTTTGATTTTGTTTTTTCTTGTGATATCCTCATCAACCAAATCTTTGATTGTTTTAAATGATCATCGGAAGTTGTGTCTTTGAATTGTAAAAAAAACCAACCCACAACAGTTAACCAAATCTGGTTATTGTCCAAGCTTTGTTAAAACTGTTGTTATAACTCTTGAAAGTTTTTGTTCCCCAAATTTTGTGATTTCTCTCTGTAATTTTTCCTTGTAATTGTTGACCATCAAGGCTTTAATTATAGAGAGAAAACCCTTTTCAAATGTCAATTTTCTGTCACCCAATCTTACGCTTTTTAATCACCAATTGCCCTTTGATGATTCCATCATCACTTGTACTTTTAAGCATTTTTTCGCAAGTTATTCTTGCATCTCTAAACCAACCTCGTTTTTTGCTAATATTTTGCATTTTGTTTCAGTAAGCTGTTCCCCAGCTCAACCCTTTTTCACTTCTCATATAGATACCAATATTGTTTTTTGACCAATCTTTTTGCTCTTTCTCGGTGACAGAAACATTTGACATGAAAATCAAATTACTATTTATTGATCTATTATTATTATTATTGAAAATATTATATATTGTAATGAATAACTTGCTAAAGATGATATTTTAATGATTTCATGACTGATCAATTGTTTGTTAATAATGGTAATTGTTTACTCGATCAATGGAAATTGTCAATCGTCAAGCAAAGAAAAAACTGTTTTGTGTTAATGGTGATAAAAAAACTTATGAGGAAAACAACAAATTTTATGTAATTACTATTATATGGTACCAATTGCTTCACAATTGAAGTTGCTTGTGATACTCTAATTGTTCTCATTTTGCTATTATCTTATGTCTTTCTCCCATTTTGAACAATTTAACTCTTTTTTTTCACTAAACATTCAATGTTAACATTTTCACTTTCATCAACAATTTACTATCAAATGTAATTTGTCGCTTTTTTGTCACTCATCTAAATATTGATATTCCGTTGCATCCCGTTAAGTGTTATTATACGGTCAATTGTATCCACAATTGACCCGAAAACAATGTGCAACAACAAATTTATTGTAAATGTTTTCAAATGGTTAACCAGTTTTTTCTTGGGTTAACCATAAACATTGCCTTTCTTTCCCAGTCTTTATTTATTGTTTTCTGTCTCTATCCCTGTCTCCATTTGTAACCCAAATGCAAACCAAATTCAAACTCAAATCTTATTATTAAGATGTAATTTTTCAATCCCAAAAAACTGTTGCCTGTTATGGATGGAAAAGTCTCTATCAATTTAACAAATCAACTTGGATCAACTTACAATAGACTTGGCATCAATTTATACAATTTGTACAATGATGAAGCTGGATCGTTTCATGGATCAAACCAATGACCATTGAAATTTTTCAAATGGATCGCACATGCAATTTGTAAATTTCAAAGGCCAATTACAAATGCCACATTTCACTGTTTACACCAACACACATATTTACTTTGACAATCACATTTTGGTAATGTGAACCCATTTGAAAAGACAAAACGAGACTTTAACTGGATCAACCTGATTTTTGTCCCTAACTGACTTTGCTTAAATTGTTACACCAACACCATTTTACTAAAAACATGTGATCAAACCAAAATGTGCAAAGATTGAAACAAAATTATCACTTGAATGTTGTCCATACAAAAGACACCGAAAAAAATAGCTGTAATTGTTATGTGTTTTGGCTCTCATTAACGTTATTATTTACCGACACCTGATTTTAACTAAGGAAATTTCCAGCATCACGATAATCCATTGCCGAAGTCCTCGTCATTAATCGCAAACCTTTTTGTTCTCGTTGAAATGTGATTTATTGGAAAGTTTGCATTTTGAAAGTAACCAGAAGAGGATATTTTTGTCATTGGGAATCAATTTTCATTCACTGTCATCATCACAATCATCAACTTGATGGATAAACTCAAGAATCGTTTTTTTCTGCTTCAATTGGACTGCGATGATTATCAATTCTGATTAAACCTTCTTTCAATTTCTTTATCGATACTTTGAGAAATGAAACTCTACGTTTCAATCTCATCTTTCATCTTTTTTTTTCTCGCCTAACTGAACTTAACTAAGAAGCTTGATAATTTAATTATTATGGCTTTACGCATTATCTCTTATTATTACAATTATTATTATCATAACTATTATTACTATTGCTATTTGTTTTTTTTTCTCTGTCACTTTTTGTTCGCCTTTTCTCGGTTTCCATTCAACCCTTTTTATTGTAATCTTCATCAATCTTTTGTCTATTTTATAATTAATACTGATAATTTATTTGCTTCACTCAGACACTTTTTTTCAGCTAATTTTACCTAATTTTATCTTAATTTTGTCTAAGATATTTAAGTAGGAAAGAATTTTTTTCATTCTGTTTTCACATCTTACCTTTTTTTATCCTCTTAAACCCTTTTCTCAAGCTTTACTGCTTATATTGTCAACTTTTTTGCTCTTTGGATTATCAAAATAATAATTTTATTTTCAATTACATCTACAATGTTGATTCAAATCTTTCAAATGAAGACCTTCAATGATTTTGATTCTAATGGATCACTTGAAGGGTTAAACAGTTAGCTTATTAAGAGATGATTGTAATTGCCAGACGGTTTAAAAATTTGATTTAATTTAATCCATTTGTGTGCAGTGAGGAAGAAAGTCACCAATTGATTTAATTGATTACTGAAGTATGGCTTTTCCCAGATCCTAAACATACGCGAATCCATGGAAAACCAATTCACGGAATTTGTTGATTCCTAAAATTTAAGATACATGTGATATTGCCTATTCAAGTGATTGATGATGAATCAACAAGCAATAAACAAATATTGTAGATTGTAAAAAGTGAAAAGTGTTGAAAGGTAAAAGTAGAGAAAGAAAGAAATGACCGGCAAAGTAAACAAACAATCCATTTATGTCATCATTTGTTTTCAAGTCAAACAAACCATCCACAGGATTATCCCAGTAATTGATCACCACATTATTATAACACTAATTGTGACAACTTTTCTACTTTGTAAATCATCTACAAACATTAAAGGTTGGTTTCTTGCAAGATTCATACCTGAATCACCGAGAAGATCAGTGAAAGTTAAATCAACAACCTCAAAACCAGCCATGTAAAGTCTCGCATTTTATACCTTCGTCTCTATTAAAAGCAACTTCTGGTTCAACAAATAATCATCTGGTCCTAAAATTGAACTAAAAAAGATTATTACAGCATCAATAATATCTGATAGATTACTGACCTTTAAGCTTTCGAAGTTCAGTGTGAATGAAAGAGCATAAAACCCTTTATTTACAACACCCTTTATCCATGTGTAAGATGTAGGATCCTTACTCCTTCAAACAGGATTTGCTTGATATTTCTATCATTGAAAACTTCTTTCGAATCAAACATTTACATTTAGCTTCTGCAGATGGCAAATAAAGCATTATTTGTGGTTAAAATTGAATGAATTTTCAGAAATCAGTCCGACTATTGACAGCTTCTAATTTGTTATACATCCAACCTTATATATTTTGCATATGTACAGACATGTTACAGTGAGTGTAAGTTACAGTCTCGGAAAATTATCAGGCGAAAAGTGAGCTCATTTGATTGTGAACTACTGTAAATTTACGGTCAGCGAGACTTAAGATTTGCTCATTCTATTTTTATACGTTAGATTTCTGGACTCCAAAATATACGAGGTTTGGGAGTAATCCTCATATATTTGCCTACAAATTAACATTCATAATATCAAATTTTTAATTGATTTCATTGAATTGATAATTTAATTGTCTAAATGTCTGGCATTCTCATTCAATCCTCGTTTTTCAGGCAATTCGGTTTGGGTTTACTCTTTTATTCAGTCATTCATTGATGGTGAGATAAACTTTGTTTAGTTTACTTTATGTTCACCAGAATTCACTACTTAATGTTGTTGCTGGTGAATCAAATGATTGGACTTAAGATGAGATTTACAGTTGAGTTTATTGATTATCCACTTAAACTGTTTTAAAAAGCAAAACAAATTAAAATTTACGAGTCTATAGATTCAATAAACACCAAGAGTTAGATTAAATTGTCAGACAGTGTTAATAAATCATACTTTAAAGTTTGTTAACATTTTCAATTCAGGTTCAAGCAAAGTCGTTTGATTCAAGGGCAATCTAATCAAATTACCATCAACCCAATGATCCAAAAGTCTTGTTTTATCAAGACAAAGTCCAGACTAAAACGTCAAAAAGAACTTTTTCAAGATACTCTGAATCGAGGGCAAATGGTTGACTTACATTACATTGCAGTGAGGAAAAAAGAACCAGAAAGATGACACACTTTTCACACATAATGAAATTTGGCATTTCTTGCCTTCTCATTGTCCAAATTATTCTGGTGAATGTCCACAGGACGAAATTCACGAAAAAGTCCACTGTCTTCCAATGATTTCCACATGCACCATTTAAAGTAGACCAAAACAATTTATATCCAATTGAAATGGCTTCATTAGCTAGGGATCATTTTGTCGATTTCAAAAACATAAGCAAACATTCAAAAAATACTGCAAATATCAAATCCCAAAGAAATAAATTTAATTGCAAAGGAAAAGGAAATATATGTTCAGTATAATCTCATAACGCTAACCATGGCTATGAAATCGGTTTTTCTATACGACATGTAGTTGCTGAAATAAGTCAACATGTTCGTCATCTTGAGTTATCTCAGAGATTTTCTTATTACTTAAAAATTATAGCATGAATTTTGAATTTTCTTAAGATTTTTTGATAGCATTTAGCCTTCAAGTCTAATAGTAGAGAAATTACCATGAAAATTCAAAGTTGCAGTTGGACAAGATTTATTGGCCAAGAAAAGATCAATGTTAAAACTATGAAAGTTGCCGAAGATGTCGAGTTAATACCAACGGATGAAATCCATGCAGTCTTTGAATGATAAATCAACCTCTGAAAGTGAACAGTCAAATGTATGATTTGTCTCAGCAGAATAGAGAATAATGCGATCATCAGATTTGCCTGAAGTGATTCCGAAAACCATCCATTTCATCAACTGTGGATATAAAGGGAACTCTCGCTAAATATAGAGAGTGGAATGCACGGAGGTGTGAAGACGGGATTGAAAAATTTATTCAATAAATATACTTTTTGAACAGCTTTTGCCGTTACCGCTCATAAATCGGGAACAACTGATCTGTTTGAACATGAAAATTGAAACTGGAAGCCACCCACCTCTTGTTCAAGTATTAATAAATTATACAGGGTTGTCAATATTTATTTGAACAGTTTAAAAATTAAATATCTTAACAAATATTTTGTAAAGTCGCTTAATTTTTTAACCGACTTATAAATTGAAATACGGAGATTAATTTAAGCATGAATTCAAGTCAAAAAAATCATTATTTCGCTGATTAATCATTAATTAAATTAATTTTGGTTTTTTCAACATTTTAGCTATTTATTGAATTGAGTAATTTCAAAACTGATAATTTTTTTTAAATCAGATGAGCTTATAGTATGCTTACAAATTATGTACGGTCAAAAAAAGAAAATACTGCGACAAAGTCAGGAAATCTGCACTTAACTCTTTCATTGAGTCGTTATTTAAAACCAATATCAGTCCAGGAGAGTTGAGGCGAGTTCTGGACAAAATAACGAAACGCGCTGAATCTTGTTCAGCGCAAGGTGGTTTGCCTTTTGAGACAAACACTAAAATAATCTCCCAATCAGAGGCTTCATTTTGATATTAAACTTATATCTGTGTGTGCATTAATTATTGATTTATAACTGATTTGAACTGTTCAAATAAATATTGACAACCCTGTATATAAAATGAACAAAAGAGGGATAAAACAAAACAAACTGTTGCTGAATTACTCAGAGACGGAATAATTGTTGACTCATTTTCATCTTATTGTTCTCCGGTGGTCTTGATCAGTGGAAAAACAATAGCGAATGTCCGTTGATTACAGAGAACTGAACGCAATTACTGTCAAGGACCCTTTCCCAATACCATGAATTTTTCACTTGATAAGGCTCACGTTGAGTTAATGAAGCCAATTATTAAAATACATCAAGTATTACAAGATTTGCCTATGTTTGATACAGAATCAAAGCATCTCAAAATACATCAATCTACACTTGGAACTAACACCCTGTACAAACTCAATGTTGATCAAGCTTTTTGCTCGTTCATTAGGCTCATTAACTGATCAATAATTGAATCAACAGCTACTGCAGATGATGAAAAATATGTTCACCACAATCTGTTCATATCTCAATCTAATTGTTAATTTTAACCAGAATTACTTGAAACTCTTCATGATAAGGTAAAACTCAATTGGCGTGACCTTTCCGTTAATCAACATGCTTTACTTCTTTGCCTTTGTCAACGTTAATCTAATTTGTATCAACCTCAACTGTAATCGTTAAGGTTTATAAGGTTAGAAAGGTAAACAATTTTGTCATCTAATAATTTGTTACAATTTTGTTGAAGATTAAAACTGTAAAAGTTAAACTGAATTAAAATGGCCAATTAAATGGAAAAATTTGAGTTTATTTTCTGGTCTAAAGCATTTTTAATTGAAACAACATCTACAACAGTTGATTGACAAGATTAACAATCCCTTTTCATGTAAAATATATTTCAAATTTTAAAATAATTACTCGTTCCAATGTTCAACAGTTTATATTTTATTACAACCCAAAACTCAGTTAACACTTACACCTTATGAGCTTTACCCTCTTTAGGGATAATCAGCGTGCAAATACAACTTTAAAGATGATTGGAACAACATTATTTAATCTAATTAATTCGCTTCTAAATCGTTAATTTAATCCCTCTTCAAATACAGGATTATCAATTAGCAATATTACATGATTTTTAACCTAATTCCTGTTTCATCAACAATTAATAGAGCCAGAAACATCGGTTAACTTCATTTGATTTCTCATTTTTTAGCAAATTTTACAGTTTACCCTTTTCCGCTCTTTTTAAACTTGCCAAGTGAAAGCCTTAGCTTTGAAAAGACAAAGGTAAATCAATTATTTTCAAGATTTCCATTAATAATCATTGTGAAGATGTCGAAAATTATTAACTCTTCCACTTTTGGTTTGGTAACATCTGCATAAAAATCATCAGCTAAGCAATCATTCAATTTTGTTATGATTGATGTTTGAATGATAATGCATTTACATGCCTCCGCACTTTATCGACCAAATGATTTGTTACATCGTTAATTTTGATTTCTTATTCAATGAGATTCAATATTAGCTATGAGAGTCACGCATTAGATAATTATTGAAAGTAAATCATCTTCACACAGAGATTAAATCTGCCTCGACTTCTCCTTGAATGTGCACAATTGCTCCAGTCAATATTATATCGGATACAACGAAGCGAATTGCTTTGAATCAAAGGGTCAATTGAAAATTTCAATGTAGCAACTTTTTATCAGATGGTAATCAGGTTGGAATATATGTGCTGGAACAATCAAGAGTCAAAAAAATGCAACATGATTGTCACTGAAAGGCAAAGTGTTTCTTGTTTCCTTGTTGTTTAATTTCGCTAGCCAGACACATAAGATTTTTCTCCACGCTTTAAGATAATATTTTGCTAACGGGTCGTAATAAAATGGCAATAAAATAGCAATCAGGTAGACAGAATGGATTCCAATACGATTGAGATGTTGATAGCTTTCAACTTTTGACATCGGGAACATGTTGGTTGCATCTTCTGTATCTTGATTGTCATTATGATAATAAATGGCATTTACTTTCATTGAGACAGTCATTTTTCTTGTTTTCCTTCATGGTGAGCTCTTCTTGATGACTTTCAACTTAAAGCTAAAAAAAGAAAAAAAGGAAGAATAAATGATTAATTTCATTTAATTTAACCATTAAAGATATTAGTCTGGATGTAATGTAACAAAAATCAACAAACATTTCTTTTGATTACTCAATTAAGACCAAAGCAAGGATTGAACCAGAAAATATTCCAAGATTTTATCATACCAATCAATAGTTGCAATCAATCATTGAATCACCTGTCAAATCCAATTTCACTTAAATGGTTGTTGAAACCAAAAATCATTTCGGAATAAAGTCCTCAAACAACAGAATATGAAATCCATTGCATGAAACCAAACGAAATAACTACAGCCATTACAGTCACACCAGAGACCTTTGATTGAACACAATGAATAAACAATTGCAGACATTTTCAGTAAATGAATGGACCACACTTAACACAGGAACTATTAATGAGCATAAAAGATGATTAACAATGGAAGCATAATTAGTTAACAATTAGTATACATTTAACATAAAATAACCGTAAAGCTTAAAGACGTTAACCGGTCAAATGGCAAGTCATGCTAAGGGGGGGAAACAAAATGGGAAGCGTTAAAAGGGTAAAGAGCGCGATGTTCAAGTTAAGCAAAAATTAACAACAATTTGATTTTAGTCAAATTTTATGGCAGTTGATCAATTAGATTGCTGTTCAAATAGATGTCTGAATTATCAAATTGTCCATGTACCTACTGACTAGAATGATGACTGACTGACTGACTGATGGTAAACTGACTGGAATGATGTGAACACTGAAATATTATGTAAACCTCATCAAAAGTCAATTGTGAATGTAAATGAAATGCTTTTACCGTTCATTAAATGTTCACTTTGATGAAGCTATTAATTGTTTCACTACATTAAACTCTCCCCCATTGAGGTAATTCACAGTCTAATGAAATATTGAATTAATTACCGGAAACTGATAGGTAAGTGAAAGTAAATTAATAATCTTACCTTTGTAAACGGAAATGCTAGACAATTCCTTAGCAATATTAGTGTGAAACTATGAATTATTGTCTAATTTTGTTTTAACTGTCAACAATTTCCTTCCAAGTTGCTTTATATTAGATTGTTGTTACAATTTGAAAATTTAATGTTGATCTGACTTCAGGATTGAGTAATTTGATGTTAAGTTTTACCAGTAAATGTATCAATCTTAAATCAAACTTAACTTTAATTTGAGACTTTTAACGATTTTTGCTAAACATTTTGATTGCCAATTAAGATAAAATTGAACTGTAATTGTGATTAATATGGAAAAAATTTATGATTTTAAGGAAATATCATTACAAGGTGAAATTAAAGATCATTTGATGTCAAAATTTTTAAAAAAAAATGTTGAATTTATTGAAATTTATTGTGTATTTCAATTCGTTAATAAATATAATAATATTAAATTACAATTGATTAATTGATACAAATGATCACAAGCAAAGCAAGAGTTATTAAATTAAAAGATTACAACTTTATTTTGACAATCTTGATAACAATTAACCTTCCTAGTTAACTGTTAATGTTGTAATTGTATCAAGAATGGAGATTTTATCTGTAAAAAAATGAACATTTGGAAACTAATGAATAGGTATTTACGCGGAAGAAGTAAGAAGAGCAATTAAAAAGCAATTAGATAATTACTTACGTCTAAATAAAGGGATTATAAAGTGGGTAGAAAATAATCGAAACTCGTTCGATTTTGATTCTTTATAGCTGAAGGTTCAAAGCAAAAGTTAACTAACAGTTCGACTAACAATTCGAGCCGAGTTCGAGTTTACAAAATTGTTGATAATGCTGATTGTAGTGTTATTTTTTCAACGGTCTTTTTCAAATGAGTCGGATAATGCGGTGATTCCTTGAGCATATCCCAGAAAGTGAAATCAAAAGGATCCAGATCAGGGCTGTTGCATTGGACGATAATTTCTGAGTAGATTTGTTTATTTAGATTTCGATGAACCAGGATTCATGAAAGTTATCCTTGATCATTTAGTTGCCAATCACTATTGGATTTTGTTGAGTAGTTCCAGCTTGGGCTTTTGTTCAATTTATTTGAAACTGAGAGTTGACCAAATATTTTGGATTTATTGCAATTGATTGAGATGATGATTTGATTCTAGTTGATCATTCATTTGATTAACAGGATCCATTTGATGGTGTTTCAACCAATTCATCATTTTCATTTTCATTTTCATTATCATTTATGATTTGAGAATCCATGTCTTTATATTGATTCAAATGATCATTAAATACAGATGAAGAGCCATTGATACAATTAGCATAATATTTACAACATAATCGGCCATTCTGTTGATTAATTGGAAAAGGAAGAAGAAGAAGAATATTAATTATTAATTATTAATAGAATAATTTTTGGGATAAAAATAGTGATATTCATGCAAAGGTAAAGTGATTTTGAGGGTAAATAAGCGTTTTGTGTGTTTATATTGTTTGGTGTGTGTTGAGTGAAGCTTAAGAAGCAGCAAAAAGTGCCAATGAATTGTAGATGATTATTATTATCATTATTGAATTAATTATTGATAATTGCTCATTTGTCTCCATTACTTTAAACATGAACCGGGTGTGGCAAAAGTCATCTATTATTCGCTAACTGTGTTAAGTAGCAGTACCAAATGTTTAATGTTTTTCTCGATTGCGATAATTTTCAGTTGAAAATTCGAATTTTGATAAAGGGCCAATTTTAGCGGGAAAGGTTAAGTATTTTTAATAAATGCTGTTATCCCAACAAAAGACATCACAGCCGCTAAATGGAACTGGTCAAGTGACACGAAGGGTCAAAATGACCTTGTAACGGAGCCATAAAAGCGTAGGTAGAAAACGGAGATTTTTGGCATTGACGGTTTTCATTCTGAAAGAATTATCTGCATTATTCATGTCATTGAGGGTAAGCACTTCGAGCATATAATCAAATAAAACTCGAAGAAAAGTTAGAATAATTAAAACTTTTTCGGCCATACTCTATTGGTCAGAAGTTATGCGTGAAGATATGCTACAGATGACTTTTGCCACACCTGGTATAATTTGTACTCTAAACAGATGATTGTAAGAATATACTTTTGAACTAAATTCAATGTTTTGTTTTCAAGTTTAAACCAACTATTATTATTGTAATAACAATGTAATTGTATTTTTTACTATTAACAGTAATATTCATTGCAATAGCATAACAAGCACAACAGGCGGTTAACATATTTTTTGTTTAACAATCTGTTTATGATAATGACTTGGGTTAACCATAATTAGTTGATTGTTGTTTACAAGAAGATGATTAATGAAAAGTCTTGCACGTAAAATGGTAAACACAAGAGGCAATGAATAAATGGTTTGACAAAAGAGCAAAATCAAAAATTATAACAATAATAAATTATCAAATGAATTGTAAAGTGCGGAATAAAGTACAAAAAAAGTGAAATGATGTGCATTGGAATAAAAGAGATTCAAATTTTAGAGATTTTTTCATGCAAATAGCAAAAGAAATTGAAATTCATGCAAATGCTTTGATAAGCGTGCAGGCAAATAACTGATTGTGCATTTAATTGCTTTGGTTTAATCAATCACAAACATTTACCGATTGTTACTGTTAAAACATGAAGATCTTATAGATTGAGCTGAACGTTCACTTTGGGTTATCTGGATATTAATTGGTTCAATTAATCATTTGGTAAAAAAATGATGCAAAAGGAAAGAAATAAATATGATTAGTTGATTAGGATTAATTGATTTGAATTAATTGGTTAAAATTGAAAAGAAAGTTAAGGAATAATAGAAATGAAAGAAATGAAACAACATTGAATTGTTATTGTGGTTTCCATGTAAATGTAAATGAAAAGGTAAACAAACAAAGTTAAGGTGTCGTGAGACAGAGGAAGAGGGAGGAAGAGAAAGAGAGAGAGGAATAATGAGTGAGAGTGAGAGTGACATGGTTATGATTATGATGATGACGAAGTTACTATAAATTGAAGGACAGGAATAAAAACATGATCAAGTTCAATGGCATATAACATAACCGTTATTTTATGAATCATTCATTTATTTATATCAATAATTAATAACTTTCATCAAAATATGGATTTTAATATTGGAAACTCTTCAGGCAACAACAATTTTATGAAACATTCGGATTCAGTTATTATTTTGTTGGGTTGATGCAAAATTTACTGAAAAATGCTTACATTTTTGACCATAAAATGGCTTCAGGCACAAAGTTATTGAATTACAATGAAATTTAATATCATCATCATTATTGACTTTACTTTTTCTTTCATTTTTTTGTTCTGTTGATTCACTTTGAAAGTAAGTTAATAATTATTATTATTGTGTTGACTAGTTAATATTGTTTACTGTATTATAATGAATCTAGTAAAGAGGTAAAACAGAAAACCATTTTTCATATTATAATTTCATTCTGATAATTTGCCTGTCAATTTGTTTGGATGTTAGTTTTTAAGTAAATAAAGGATAATTTTTGTCAATATTTTTACCTAAAATAACAATGAAAACATCTATGAATATTGAGATCTTTGAAGAGAGTAAAGTATATGTTTTTTACCCTAAAATTGTTCATTTCAAGTACAAACACATTTTACTTATGAATGTTGATTTCAGGTCAAATGTGTGTTCGACCTCAATTTACGTATGGATTAAGGCAATGGGAATGAAAATAAGCAAATAACGGATGAAAAAATATCATAGAGAAAAATTGACTTTTTTCTTGTTTGGTCATTTTGATATTACAACAAACACATTGCTATGTAACTGTTTGATTGATTTTGAGGGAGAATTAAAGATGATCAGAAGGTAAAGGTGAATTAAAAAGGAAGACGAAAAAGTTGATGAAAATGAAAGAGAAAAGAGAGAGAAAAATGAAGGGGCAATCCAAATAACATTACAGTAGATCACTGTTAAGAGAAGGGAATAAACAGATGCTTATGAGGATGAGGATCAAAAGAAAAGATAATGTTACTGGCGATGAAGAAAAAAGAATTAGAAAAAAGAGAAGAGAAATTACCAGGTGAACTCGACACTGGCACGAGTCACAGTTACACTACTTTCTTCAAACTACTTTCAAACAAGAGGGTGAGAGGTAAAAGCGCGTGACGCGTGGTCGAGTCACCGGTAGTTCAATGCTCCTGCACACGCGACACATGAGAGGGGAACAAGAGAGTAATGAAGAGAGAAAACGAAAGAGAGAGGGAAAGAGAGGGCGATGGATAACACCTTGTGGTCGATGAAAGACATTTAGGGGAAAGAAGATGAAAGATGTTATGATGATGATGGAAGAAAAAAAGAGGGAAACTGAAGAAAGAGAAAGTCATAGTAAGTCAATGTAAAAGAAAGAAAAGAAAGTAAAATAAAATATTCTTATTGGAAGTCTGATAAAATCCTTTCTTCTTATTCAACTGTTCAACTGTTACAAACTGTACTTGGCAACAATAAACATGATCGTCTAAATTAGTTTCATATCTCGACTTACCTTGCATTTACAAGAAGCACAAGGATCTTTTTTAATTGCAATTTTTTGTCCATTTTCATAAGATTTGCCAAGATACATACAACCAGGATTATGTTTATTGTAATGAGAGATTGTTGAGTTTATTGAGATTCCAGGTTTGATTATTATTATTGGTCTTGATGATGAACTAGGAGATTTATATTGAGTCACATTTTTACGCTGAGATTGAGATTTTGATTTAAATATTTTTCTGTCAAATGAAGCTGTTAATGAACTTGGCGACAAGTCTTCACATGGATCATCTTCACAGCGAGGACAACAATCATCTTCACCTTTTATTGGATTATTACACTGTACTGGTGGACAATCGATGTCATAACAATCAACTTCACCAAACTGTAGAGCTGAAAAATTTGTTTGTTAGTTTATTCTGACCAACCTTATTACAAATAACTTATAGCTAATACCAACAACAAACTAATACATTAACAATGAGCCAAAAAGTTAAATGTCATTTTGTTTGTTGCCAGTTATAACCATAAATATCTTGGCATCGAAAAATGAATCAATTGAAATGAAATGAAAGTGTTAAATCGTTGTTATCAACTTACCGAGCATTGACATGATTTACATTTATATAACCAATTTTCACCATTTTTATATTTCAATTCATCATTCTCTTGATCGACACAATCTCCAGTTGTTTGACATTTAGGACAACAATCAATATTAACATGATTAGGATTAGAACAATCACATTCTAATTTTGAACAATTAGTAACTCCTGAAGAACAGGAACATTGAGAACATGAATCAATTTCTGATTCCCATGTTTCATTATGTGAACGTCTTTGGCCGAGATAGACACAGTCTTGCGAACAGGAAGAGGATGATGATGATGAAGACGACGGTGTTAGCGATTGTAATTGTGATTGGGATGACGATGATATAGTTGACGGACAATCACATCTATAACTTCCTTCAGTATTAACACAAATTGTGTTTTCATCACAAGTATCTATTCCTTCATTGCATTCATCCAAATCTGGTTAAAAGTAAAAGTTGGGTAAAAAATTGGTTAACCAAAAATTAATACAAATGTATAAATACAGACAAGACAAATGTCTAGACTTGATGGCGTCAAAAGAGTTACATTGTAACCTTAATACCAATACTTACCAATACATTTCAATTGATAATTGGAATCGTTTCTTTCAATTAAACTTGTATAACCAGACAGACATTGACAGTAATACCAACCAGGTTTGTTAATACATTCAGAGTTTACTGGACAATGATGAATATTCAATGAACATTCATCAATATCTGGATAAAAAAATAATGGAGAAGATATAAGAAACTCAGGCTTAACGATAAAAAACTTGATATAAAAAGCATAAACAGAAGCAAAGACAAACCTTTTTCACAATAATTTCCATAAAATCCTCTTCTACATGAACATTTATCTGGTCCAATACATTTACCTCCATTGGCACATTTTTTATTGCAAATTGCTGTAAAATTCAAATCATTAATTTTAATATTGAACGGATACCCAACTCGGAAAA